AATAACCACAGAGAGCAGGGGAGGCTATGCTGATATCAGACAAAATACACTTTAAATCAAGAAAGATTACAAGACAAAGAAGGACATCACGTATTAATAAAAACTTCAAAACAGCAAGAAGATATAATAATTATAACCATTCCTGCACTGGAAGCAAAAACTGACAGAAGTAAAAAGAGAAATGGACAATTCTACGATAGGAGTTGGAGACTTCAGTACCCCACTCACAATAATGGATAGAACACCAGACACAAGACAAATAAGACAATAGAAAACTTAACACAGTAGACCAACTAGATCTAACAACATACACAGAACACTCTACCCAACAAGAGAATCACATTCTTCTCAAGTGCATATAGGACATTTCCCAAGAAGACCATACATTAGGTCACGAATTAAGTCTCAAGAGATTTAAAAAGATAGAGGCACCTGGGTAGCTCAGTCGGTTAAGCATCTACCTTCGGCTCAGGTCATGATCCAGGGTCCTGGGATCCAGTCCCCCATCGGGCTCCCTGCTCAGCGGGGAGTCTGCTTGTCCCTCTCCCTCTACACCCCTCCTCAGTGCTCATGCTCTCTCTCTCAAATAAATAAAATCTTAAAAAAAAGAAAGATTTAAAAAGATAGATACCATACAAAGTATCTTCTCTAACCACAAGAGGATATAGTTACAAATCAGTAACATGAGGAAAACTGAAAAATACACAAAATTGTGGAAATTAACCAACATACTTCTTAAACAATCAATGAATCAAAGAAAAAAAATCACAAAGGAAACTAGAAACTACTTAAAGATGAATGAAAATGAAAACACAATATACCAAAACTTATGATACAAAGGATGCAAAGGGAGTACTTATAGCTATCAACGTTTACATTGTAAAAAACAAATCTCAAATCAACCTAACTCTACAACTTAAGGAACTAGAAAAAGAATAAGTTAAACCTAAAGAAAGCAGAAGGAAGGAAATACAGAGAAGAGCATAGGTAAATAAAACAGAATGAACCAAAAGAGAAAAATCAGTAAGAGCAGGAGGTGGTTCTTGGAAAACATCAACACAATTGACAAACCTTTAGCTAGATGGACTAATAATGTTCAAGAGGATACTTAAATTACCAAAATCAGGAAAGGAAGTGGGGACGTTACTACTGATTCTACAATAAAAAAGGATTCTAAGAGAGTTACTATAAACAACGGCACACAACAAATTGGATTACCTAGTTGAAATGGACAAATTCCTACAAACCCAAAACCTACTAAGACTTTCCCTATTTCCCAAAGAAATACAAAATCTGACTAGACTTGTAACTAGTGAGCGGACTGAATCAGTTATCAAAAATCTCCTGACAAAAGGAAATACCTGGACCTGATAATGGCTTCATGGGTGGATTCAACCAAATACGTAAAGAACTACTACCAATCCTCAAACTTTTCCAAAACACTGAAGAGGAAAGACAAATTCATTCTATGAAGCCAGCATTACCCTGATACCAAAACCAGGCAAAGACACCACAAGAAAATTACAGACCAATATGCCCTATTAACACTGATGCAAAACTCCCCAACAACTACTAGCAAACAGGATTCAGGAGAATATTAAAAACATTATACATCATGACCAAGTGAGGTTGTTTGTTTTTTTTTTAAGATTTTATTTATTGAGAGAGAGAGAGAGAGAGAGATCATGAGCGGGGGGAAGGGTATAGGGAGAAGCAGGCTCCCCAATGAGCAGCAGCCCGATGGGGAACTCAATCCCAGGACCCTGGGAACATGACCTGAGCCAAAGGCAGACACTTACCGACTGAGCCACCCAGGTGCCCACAACCAAGTCAGATTTATGCTTGGAATGCAAGGGTGATTCAACATATGAAAACTGATCAGTGTAATATGCCACATTAACAGAATGAAGGAAAAAAACCCCACATGATCATTTCAATTGATGCAGAAAAGGCAAAGGACAAAATACCACACCCTGTCATGATGAAAACACTCAACAAACTAGAAACAGGAATACCTCCACATAATAAAAGCCAAATATGAAGCCCCCCCAGGGAACATCATAACGGGGAAAGGCTGAAGCATTTCCTCTAAGATCAGGAACAAGATAAGAATGCAGGCTTTCACCACTTCTATTCAACCTAGTACTATGAGTTCTAACCATAGCAGTTAGGCAAGAGAGAGAAACAAAAGGCATCCAAATTGGAAAGGAGAAGGTGAGCCCTGTTTGCAGATATGATTTTTTATTTAGAAAACTCTAAAGATTCCAAAAAATTTTAGGATGAATTTTGCAAAGTATCAAGATACAAAATCAACACACACAAAAATCAGTTGTATTTCTGTACATGAAAAATGAACACTCTAAAAGGAAATTACAAAAATAATTCTATTCACAACAGCATCAAAAGAAAAAAAAAAACACAGAAAAACTTAGGAATTAACCTCACCAAGGACCTAAAAGACTTGTACAGTGAAAATGACAAAACATTACTGAACGACATAAATAAATGGAATCAACCCATCATGGACTGGACAACTTAATATTATTGAATTGTAATCTCAGTACTACCCAAAGCAATCCACAGATTCAATGCTACTGCTAGCAAAATCCTAATGTGTTTTTTGCAGAAATAGAAAAACCCATCCTAAAATTCATATAGATTTTCAAGGGACCCTGAATAGCCAAAATAATCTTGAAAAAGAATAAAGCTGGAGAATCACACTTCCTGATTTCAAAACGTACTACAAAGCCACAGTAATCCAAACAGTGTGTTACTGACATAAAGGCAGACACAGAGGCCAATGCAATAGGACAGAGAGCCCAGAAATAAAACCCTCACTCACACATGTGGTCAAACAATTTTTGACAAAGGTGCAAAGACCAATAAGGAAGGACAGCCTTTTCAACAGATGGTGCTGGGAAACCCAGATACCCCATGCAAAAAACTGAAGTTGGACCCTTAATGCCATATACAAAAATTAACTCAGCTTCATGATACAGGATCTGACAATTATATCTCAGACATGACACCAAAGGTACATGCAACAAAAAGTAGACAAATTGGACTTCATTAAATTTAAAAATTTTGTGCACCAAAAGATATTATCCACAGAGTAAAAAGGCAACTCACAAAATGGGAGAAAATATTTGGAAATCACATCCGTCAAGGGTGTCAAGGATTAATATCCAGAATACAGAAAGAACTCCTGAAACTCAACAATGAAACAAATTAACCCAATTCAAAAATGGGTGAACGGGGCACCTGGGTGGCTCAGACGTTAAGCGTCTGCCTTCGGCTCAGGTCATGATCCCAGGGTTCTGGGATCAAGCCCGCCATCGGGCTCCCTGCTTTGCAGGAAGCCTGCTTCTCCCTCTCCCACTCACCCTGCTTGTGTTCCCTCTCTGTGTCTCTGTCAAATAAATAAAATCTGAAAAAAATAAAATAAAATAAAAAATGGGTGAAGGACTTGCATAGACATTTCAAAAAGATACATAAATGGCTCATTGGTACTTGAAAAGATGCTCAACACCACTGACCACTAGGAAAATTCAAACCTACAGGGAGATACCACCTCAGGTCCATTACAGTGGCTACCATCAAAAACCCAGAAAACGTCGAGTACTGGCAGAATGTAGGCAAATTGGAACCCTTGTGCACTGTCGGTGGAAATGGAAAATGACACAGCCACTATGGAGGACATTGATGGTTCCTCAACAAATTAAACATACAATTATCACATGATCCAGCAATTCCACTTCTAGGCATACACACAAAAGAACTGAAAGCAGGGTGTTGAAGAGGTATTTGTACACCCAAGTTCATAACAGCATTATTCACAATAGCTAAAATACGGAAACCTAAGTATCAACAGATGCGTGGATAAGCAAAATGTCTTCTATACATACAATGGAATATTATTCTGCCTTAAAAAGGAAGCAATTCTGTAATGTGTAATACAGACAAATCCTTGATATTATACTAAGTGAAATAAGCCAGTTACACAAAGACAAATTCTGTATGATTCCACTTCTATGAGGTACTCAGAGGAGTCAAAATCATAGACAGAAAGTAGAATAGTGGTCATAGAATCTGAGGGGTGGGGAATGTGAAGTTATCGTTTAATGGGTACAGAGTTTCAGTTGTGTAAGATGAAAAGAGTTATGGAAATGGATGGTGATGGTTGCACAACAATGTATTTAAAACCACTGATGGGGCGCCTGGGTGGCTCAGTCAATTAAGCGGCTGCCTTCGGCTCGGGTCATGATCCCAGAATCCTAGGATCAAGCCCCACATCCGGCTCCCTGCTCAGTGGGGAGCCTGCTTCTCCCTCTGCCTGCCGTTCCCCTTGCTTGTGCTATCTCTCTGTCAAATAAATAAATAAAATCTTTTAAAACAAAACAAAACAAAACAAACACTGACCTATGCACCTAAAAATGGTTAAGATGGTAAATTTTATGTAAAGTCTATTTTCCCACAGTGGGGGCAGGGGGAAGAGCACTAGCTCCAGCCAGCTTTCCTGGCTGTGGATGGCAGCTGTAGTCCATTCACCTGAGCTACGTAACACAGAAGTTCAGCACTTAACTCCAATAAGCAGTCAGCCCTGCTACTCGAAAATGAGACTTCTGTTCAGAACCGGAAGATGTTTCCAAGATGAATCTACCTCTCAAATTCTACGAGGAGCCATTATCTCAAAACAGGTAAGGCCAGACTGAGGTGAGATGAGCATGCCCCAACCAGGAGCTGAAGTGGGACAAAGAATAACAAAGACAAAAAACCCCACCGATAACTTCCCTCTTCAAAGGAAGAGTAAGAGCCATTCCCAGCAACTGTACACCGCCTGATTACTCCAGTAAGATGGGGGTTGAGTCAGCTAGATGGTGACCTCCTGAGGGACGGGACCCTGTTGGCCTGGCACAACAGAAGCACTCAAATATTTCTTTACCGCAAGAACGCTCCACCTCCTCACCACACGGACCATACTGGCTGCTGACGGCCCTCACCTGGCCTGCATCCAGCCTTTGGGCCACAGAGGTTTGACCTCAGCATCCAGAAAGGCCTTCACATAGTCCTCCCAAGACTGGGTCCTGTTGTTCCTCTCCAGATCGTAGCTCTCCAGCTTTATCCTCACCACGTGGCATAACAGCTCCCTGAGGGGCAGAGACAAGTCAAAAACTTCACACCACCCCAAATGCTTCAAGGTTTCAATCGTGTGCTTTCAGCAGCCCTGATTAAAGTAAATGATTCTAACCTTCATTAGAAACACAGGAACATGCTCAGACACTGGCCCCACAAACCCTCCAATGAGGCAAGGTCCCAGTTTGGGCACACCTGATTTCATCATTCCACTGGAACTTCTTCCGGGGTCCCATTATCCTCCTGCCCCCCTTTTCCTCATCTTCTTCCTCATCAGAGCACATCCGCTCTCTCTGCTCCTTGTCCTTCTCCTCTTCCAGCATCCTATAGTGTGAATAGGACCAATGGGACCCTAAAGTCACCACCATGGAAGAACTACTTCCTCCCATATCCACCACCTCCCCCCTACCCAAAGCCCCGCCCCGAACTTCTAAGAGAAGGTGAAAATGCTGCAGAAGAGCCAAGAGTCTCATTCACAAATGTAATAATGGGGGGGGAAAAAAAGAAAGAGAAGAGGCAAGAGGATGATGTCATGTGAGAGCCAGGAGACACACTTACTTAGCGACCTTGGCTTGTGTGTGTGCCTGGCATTCATCCTGGTACTTGGCCATCTGCTCTGGCATTGCCCTTCCAATGGCTTCCTTAAGCTTCTGGAGAGGCTCCTTCAGACGCCCCCCCTGCAGAGAGCAGGACATATCCTAAGACTGGTTTACGCATCACTTGTTATACTGAGGATACACTACTGGAATAATCGCACGAAGGCAGGACAAACTGCAGATGTGGCATCTGTGGAGACTCAGTCACCCTCTCTGCTGGGCCCTGAAGCCAAGGGACTCCACTCCACAGTCACCCACCTGTTCATAGAGGTGAAGTTTCCGAGCACGTTTGACCAGGGTGTCCTTGCTGCAGGGCAGGAATGAAGCAAGATAGGCATACACCCCAGAACGGATTTGGCTACTCAGCTCCCGAGTTTGCACCTCTATGCTGAAGAACAGAACAGAGTCATCAAGAGCCTGCAGCTCCCTGGAGCTCCTCTCATCATGAGGTCACCCTACTGCAGAGAGGAAAACTAAGAGCCAACAACAGATCAAACCTTATGCTGTCGGTCATGCAATGTAAAAGAGTGACAAGTGCAAAAGATCCCCAGCAGTCGCCAAATCAGAACTCCCACACCTGATGAACCTGGCTAGGTACGGAGGGTCAAGACCCTCAGGTCAAAGACAAGACCAACTCAAAGGTAGTCAGGAAAACAGAACCTGAGAGAACAAGCTCTGAAGTACTAAATTTCACATAAGAGCTTTCAAAATGAAAGTGATTGAGTTACTTGCTGTAGACAGGAAATACCTTCCAACAGCGTTTCCTTTTTTCCCCAGTTCTATCCCTAATAAGGAGGTCAGGGAAATCCTCACCCCTCCAGTGTCCCCATCTAAATGAGCAGAAAAATATTTGTCTTCAATCCTTTGAGTTCTCTGTATTTGGCATGCTCCAGCACGCTACTGTTGACACAAATCTCTCATGTGTGCTGACCCTCAGGTGCTCTCTATAGTCCAGGCTTCCTGACCCAGGAGGCCAATCCCCATCCTGGCCATTTGCTAGAATATTCCCAAGCCTTGACAACTGTTCTTACACGTGCAAAATCCTCACTTGTTGAGCACAAGCTTCCTCTGCTAAATAACACAACAGAGAAGCTGGCAAAGCTGGAAGGCCGGATACTAAGAACCTGGTTTGGGTTTATATGTGCAGTTTTTTTTGCTTTTTAATCTACTTCATACAGTGCAACATCTCAGAGGTTCAGGTATCCCGGAGAAGTGCCACGAGATGATATTTATATACCCTGGCCTTGGGAGAAGTGAGAGTGAAAAGAGAATGATCCCAGGAAAGCAGGCTCCTGCGGCTGCACCAAGTTATCTCTTACTTTTCTGGATTCTCAAAGACAGCAAGCAACACTTTTTCTCTCTCTCATCTCATACTTGCCAAGAAATCCTCTTCCAACTGGCCATGATTATTATACACAGTGTTCTAATAACACCTGCTGCCTAAGGTTACTAAGGTCTATCATTTCTTGGAAACAAATATTTGGTGTACCCACCCCCCTTTAAAAAAAAAGATAAACAATAAAAACCATTTTTTCTCTCATAAGTGGTTATCGTTAATGTAGTTCAATCAATGCTCATTTCCCCAGCCTGCTCAAGCCAGGCATGGTAACAGCAGACGCACGGAAACAAAAGATACTCACTCTAAGAGGGTGCCATTAACATCTTGGGTGAAGAACTTCTGTCTGCTCTCTCCTTCAGCAGCTCTGGCAGCCTGGTTCACAGCAGACAGTAACATCCGTTAGTGCACTTTCCCCACACGACCACACAACCCACAGGCACAAGACCAGTCAGTCCCTACAGAACACCTGTCGATTCAATAAAAACCTCACTGTGCCCTTCCCTACTCAGCCCTAATCCCAGATTAAGTTCACATATGATCACTATATACTCCACAATTGGTATATCCAGCTTTTTTCAAATGCTACTAAAGCATCTATGGACTGTCATTCTTCCCAGGACTTGAAATGACAGTCACATAAAAGAAAATCATACAGAGTCAAAGCAATCAGGATGCATTTGATTCAACCAGCTAGTTAACTCCTGTGAATGGCAGTCTGTCACCTCAACTGTGAGTTGGTATTTCCATACGTCTACAATATAAAAACAATCAAGAACTTCAACAAAACCGCAAAATTCAAAGGTCTTTATCCCCCCTCACCCCTAAATAATAATAAAGTGCTGCTTTAGCATTTAAGGACATTGTAATTTTTGGGAAATTCACAATCTACTTAGAGTGTATCACAAACTCTATGACCCAGACCATTTGAACTACTAACACACCTTCCTACCTATTGACACAAGTAGCAGCACAGGCTACTGTACAGTCTTTCGCTTCCCATGAGAACACAATCAGCACCCTGGACGGCAGCCACGGCAGGCAGCCAGGGCGCTGAGTGCAGAAGTCAGGAAAGCAACCATGGCGAAAGTCTGAACCACTGGTTCTCATATTCAGCTGCATATTGGAAGTACCTGGCGGCTTTCCCCACCCTCGACCCATCACATCAGAATCTCTGGGGATGAGGCCCAGGAATCTGTTTCTTTTCTTTAAGATTTTATTTATTTGACAGAGAGACACACAGCGAGAGAGGGAGCACAAGCCCGGGGAGTGGGAGAGGGAGAAGCAGGCTTCCCGCCGAGCAGGGAGCCCGATGTGGGGCTCGATCCCAGGACCCTGGAATCATGACCTGAGCCCAAGGCAGACGCTTAACGACTGAGCCACCCAGGCGCCCCAGGAATCTGTTTCTTTAAAAGGAACCCTGGTAACTCTGAAGTGCAGAGGGGAATGAGAACCACTGATCTAAACCCAAGAGTTGCTGGTCCAAAGGCTTTAGGCAAAAATAAATCATCTAAAATCAGGCTTGATACAGAATGACCACAATCAAAGGCAATAAGATGTTTGTCTAAAACAATCAACCCTGATCAAGCCATCTGAGACTGCAGGCACCGAGAACGACTCTCCACTTTCCCATCACCTGACTTGCCTTCCCTCACCGTATCCCCTGGGTCCTTTTCCTACCTCTGCTCCCTCTCCGTCTTCTCCATTAACTCCTTAAATAGAGATGGAGCCCAAAATTCTATCTAGAACTACCTTCTCCTAATACTTCTCCTTCACAGCTTTGAAATAACACATAATGCCCATAGATCTCTCAAATCTAAATCTCTAGGCCTATACCCTTTTTTCTAAGCTCTGGATTAGAATTTCCAATTACTTCTGTGAATGGATGATCCTCTGGTATGGACACTCAATTTACCCAAGACCAAACCTCCTAGCTTCTGCTCCTACTTGTGTTCCCTACTTCTAGTAACTATACTCCATCCTCTGGAAATCCTTCCACTCCCTTCTTTAAAACCCTGAGGTAGCTCTCTCCAAGCCCAGAATCAAATCCAAACTCCTTTATGTGGCATTTATGATTCTCCAGGATCTGGCCCCAGCCAGCCACTCCAGCTCCCAACCCCTACCACACTCCAGGGAGTCCCCACCATCCAACAATTCAACAACTCCTTGTCTATCCCCAGCTCTATGCCCTGGCTTCCTATAAGACCATCTCACCACTGAGCCTGGCCAAGCCTACTGCCTCCAGTCTGATTCCTATGTACCTCAAGGAGCTTCTGTCTTACCTCCTCAAAGCTGGCTGTTCACCTGACCATCTGCTTGACCACCCAAACATCACAGAGCTTACCTCATTCTGCTCTGTCGTACAGCCAGGTGTTTACATGTCTACTGGTCCATTTACAAAACAAGCTCATGGAGAACAAGAACTGAATCTGATTTGTCAATATACTTCCCACAGCTGCCTATCACATAATAGAGCTTATTAGTAAATGTTGCCTGAGTGAATGCATGAAGGAAAAACAGGTGTTACCGAAAGAATGCAACCAGAGGAAGAAAGTTTGGAACTGACAAACAGAACTTGCAGAAGATACGCAAAACTCAAGCTTCTGCAGACCCCGGAGGGAGGAAGTGCAAAGGCCCAGGATGAAAGGGGGTGAAATGGATGGAAGGAAATGAAATAAAGGCATGACTTTTAATCCATTCACCTGCCAATTTCTTGCATTTTCAGAAGGATTCAGAATTCTTGGCACTTCTAATGTACTGAGAGTACGATTTTAGTTTGAGAGAAAATAAAACTGAGTCATTCTTTTGCTTAAGCTTACACACTGCTACTTACAAGATCCAGAAGCACTTCCATATTAATTCAATCTAATTACTTTAACATGTATTTCAAATGCCCCACTGTTCGTCAGACCTATCAACAAGCTTAGGTTTCCATTCAAATTTTATTTTTAGATATCAGCCAGTTCCTCCAATGTGTCAGAAGCTTTCTGGCTATATACTTTTTAAGAAGATTTTTTTTCTGATGCTTTTTCAATTGTGTGGACAATTATCTCTGAGGGTCTGGTTTTATACTGAGATACTCAAGTGCTATACTTTTATTTTTTTTAAATACTTTGAAAGAGGGGTGCCTGGGTGGCTCAGTCGATAAGCATCTACCTTCGGCTTGGGTCATGATCCCGGAGTCCTAGGATCGAGCCCCACATGGGGCTCCCCTTCTCACTGGAAGCCTGCACCTCTCCCACTCCCCCTGCTTGTGTTCCCTCTCTCACTGTCTCTGTCAAATAAATAAATAATAAATAAATAATACTTTGAGAGAGAGAGAAACAAAGAGAGAGTGCGTGAACAGGAAGAGGAACAGAGGCAGAGGGAGAGAAGCAGACTCCCAGCTGAGCATGGAGCCTGACGCGGGGCTCAATCTTACAACGCTGAGATCATGACCTGAGCCAAAACCAAGAGTCAGATGCTCAACCGACTAGCCACCCAGGCACCCCTTAAGTGCTGTATTTTTAAATAAATCTAATTAAAGGAACAATCAGATTTATATCTGATAGTCTTCCACAAATAAGTGAGGTTCCTTAACCCTGAGACACCCTTGCCTAAAGAGTTGTATAAATTGATCAATCCTAGATTAATTAGGCAATGAAGTTAAACCAAACAGCCCAATCATGCTGATTTATAATAATTTCAACAGCCCTTTAATGAGCTGTTTTAATTATAAGAAAAGCCACTTACAGCCTCTTAGCACCTAAATCAGAACCTTATATATTGTATGTTTTTGCTGGTATGATTTTCTTTTTAGAAAAGATCAAACAGGTTAGTTTTTTGGTTTTTTTTCTACCTTTTTCTCCTTGGATCCAGGTCTCCCTGGATTTGTGATGCAGTTCTAAGTCTACAGGAGGGTAAGCTGTGAGCAGGTAGATTAGAGGAATGGGTGACATGGGGTTTCTGTTTCTTTTCTTTCCTCAGTATTGTTCCCATTTTATGCTTGAGTCAACAGACCTGGGTCATCTGTATGGACCAAGCTGAGTAGTTGCCAAACTACATCAAGACAAGTAACCTGGGTGGGGGGGGGGGGGGTGGCGACACAGCTGAACTTTCCACCAACCAAGACAAAAGGTACAATCAAGAATATTAAGTGCAGACAGGGTAAGGCCATCAAATCATTGGATTCCTTGGGGTCTATAAAAATGTACAGTACAAGGGAACAGGAAATGAAAAACAGGCTAACATAAGAAAACAGTGACCATTGCTTGGGCATCCACCTAGGTGGCCCTCTTGGGATACCTCTTTAACATATGTAAGTTTTCAAAGTTTTAAGGATCACATCTAGTTGGAAGGTAAATCTAATTTTTGCTTCCCACAGCAAAGATTAATCCCTAAAGGATGGATACATACCACATCAGAATCTGTTTACGGGACTGTGGTAGATGGCAAACAGGACTTCAGATCCCTTCCCTCCCAGTACATGCATTCTGCTACAGGGAGATGGCCTCTAATTTCCCAACCCTCCAAAGTGGTTTGCTTTTGCGACTTGCTTTACCAATAGAGTGGGAGAAGTGATGTGAACACACAACTTCTATGGCTAGATCTTATGGGCCTTGCAGCTTCCACCTTCATTCTCTTGAAATGTTGCCCTGAAACTCCCATACCCTGAAGAAACCCAGGATCAAAGATCAGAGGAGGGAGGGTCAGCCGTCCCAGCCGTCCCAGCCCCCGGCCAACTTGCCAGCTGAACGCAGCCACAAGAGTGAACCAAGCAGGACCAGAAGAGGAACTGCCCAGCCACCCAGAGTCAGGAGAAATGAATTGCTCTTTGAAGCCCTAAGATTTGGGCAGTTTTCTAGATAACAGTAGAAACTGATACATTTATCATCATCTAGAGCCAAAATTTTAAACGCAATCTTATAAAGAGGAAGAAAAAAGGGGAGTGAAAAATAAAGTGAGAAACACATAACACTACTAATGTTACAATTATGTACATTAGGTTTAATTTAAATTTTAAAAAGAAAATGTCCAGTTTAAGACTGAGGACAGGGCTCCTTATTAAGGATCGAAATATCCATGGGTGACTTTTGGAATTGTACGCAATTTTTGTGTACATAGGCATTTTTCTCCTGGGAAGAATAGTTTTCCCAGCAGATTCTCAGAGAGGTATGGGTTTAGAGCACTTGTGCACACATGCGGGAGGGTCCAAGTACCCAAGTCAGGCCCTTGTGGGAATGGAGCCCCTGGGGATCCTTTGGAATGGCATTAAGTAACTTTCCAAGAATAAGCCTTTTCCATGCAACCATCAAAAGTGATGAGGGCTTTATAATATTTATTAAGTGAAGAAAGCAGGAAACAATTATTCACAACTATAATTACAACTGCATAAAAACATACACAGAAGCTAGAAAGGAATAAGCAAATTGAAAATAGTTTTCAGATTGGCAGAATGATGGGTAATCCCCATTTTCTACCCCATTTCCCAAAGTTTCTTAACACTGTTATAGTAGAAGGGCCAGGTGATGACTGAAGTATCGATTTCACACATGAACACTGTATTTTCATTTCAGTATGTCAATTTGTCCTGGTCACCCTTCCCACCAAAACCCAAGCCTACTTTATCTATGGGATCCAGAACCCTGTCTCCATTGTCCCAAGAGAGAACTTGGCAATCACTGAGGAAGGACTGCTTGCTCAGGGTTCATCCAGGGGACTCCAGAAAGCGAGGCTTTCTTGAATCACAACCCAACTCCGATTCATGTTAAGCCACTTTGTGTCCATTGAATTGGTCCATCTTTCCCAAGAAATTGAAATAATGAGTCTAAGTTATCAGACTAGAACACTACCTATGTTGGGGGTAGGGACACATCCAAGAATGGTTTTGACTTTTCTCTAAAGAAACGACTGGCTACTGCCACATATACCTCACTCAACTTACTTAACAAGACTTCAGAAACTACAAAATAATTAGATTACAAACCAGAGGACTGAGAAGAACAAGGAGTAATTTTTTTAAACATAAATTCTGAGAGCAAACACACAACAGTATGCTCAAACATGCCAAGTTCAGATTCAACTACTTCCACCTTAATGTCCTACTAAGATATACCCTGAATCCCTAACATGGCACAATTCATTTATATCATCACATTCAAACAAAATACTGCACACAGACTAACGAGGAAGAACTAGAAATCCAAGGAAGACATTTGCTTTACTTTGCATGTTGTGCTTAAATATTTCTTGGAAACAAGAAAATCATTTGTAGCAGTGGTTAACATTTTACCCTACCCTAAAATACAAGAGAGATTTCATGTAACAGTGATTCTGAAATCCTGTGAGAATCACTGGCTTAATACTTAAGCTACAGGGTATAAATGCCACAGGAGTTGCATTGTAAGTCATGATGCCCAAGGTAAAACGTGTTTTAACTAAAAGTCATCATAACTAACGACCCATGCTTGGTTTATGGTCAGTAGTACATTACTGAATTGACAATTCTCAGCACTCTAGAAATCAATTCCCAATTGCCAACGGCTGCTATAGCCCAAAGACTGTCGCTGTTTTTAATGGTTCACAGACAATATTAAGGTTCAGCTCCTTTTCATTTACCACACCTTAGGCATTCCTGTAATCACTACCTAACACTGATGATGGGCAAGTCCAAGGAGCAATGGAAACCCAGTTTCAGCATGTACTCTGTGTAACATTCATTTGCAAACTTTTGTGAATTTTGAAAACTTTCAAAAGATTACTAAAATGACGGATCTGTGCCCCAGCTGCCTGCTGCCAACATTAGTGTCAGTCTATTGCACCAAAGGAAAAGATAATTTGTGGAGAAGGAACTGATAGGCAGGAAATGGAAAGACAGAAATTCCCCCCGAGAAGAAAGTAGATTTTCTAGAAGTGAAAGAACCACAAAAGGCCTAAAAATGATGCCTGATGAGCAGAGCTTACACAGTTTCACTTGGGAGGAGAAGAGAGCTTGGAAAAGCTTACACTGAAACTGCCAATTCACTAAGGATTGCTCTGGGCAGCGAGCTTCATGTGGTGGAGAACCAGCGTCAATCTGCCCAAACCGCTTCCAGGAAAGCCCGGCCACTCTGTGTCACCATACCTGAGCCAGCTCCTTAACGCGCTTCTCCAGGGGTGCAGGCAGGCCTTCAGGGAGGGAAGAGGGCTGCCTGAATTCCTGGTCCAGTCCCACCCCAAGGGAATTGCTCTCATCATCCATATCACGGAAAGGGCTTCCTTCTGGAGACTCACTGAGCAGCTGCTCCAAGTCCAAATCAGTCAGCGAGTCCATGGCAGTGGCTGCCTGGAGCAAGTCGTTGTCAGAAGTGGAGCCAAAGAGCGAGAGCAAGGGGTCAGAGGTGCCCTCCAATTCCCGTAGGCCCTGAGCTTCCGCCGACGAGATCACTACGGGCTTATGGTCTTCGTCCCTTTTTCTCTGAGCCTCTTTCTCCTTCTGAAATTTCTTCAGCATCTCTTTAACGCTCAAAGCCCCAGAATATTTCTTTTTCTTCTTCTCCTTACTGGCATTCAGGGCCGTGAAGCTGCAAGCAAGGAGGAAATTGGTTATGAGGGCTGCAGTACACCTCAAAAGGGAAATTCACGAGAGACAGCCCCTGCTCCCAGCGCAACTGTCTCCAGGAACCTCAGTCATAAGGCCACCCTGTTACTCCTCCTCCCTCCTCTTGGCATATGGAGCTCCTTCTTGCTGGGACCAAAGCTTGAGATTTAATACAGGTTAGCAAAACAGTGTCACAGAATGCTAAATATCCGATGTGTTTTTAAAAACCACTGCCAGGCTGAAATAAAAGGTTGCGAAAAAGCGGTGGGGGGCAAGAAAAACATTTAAAGGGAAAAAGCAGGAGCAGCAGAGAGCAGCAGCAACTTGAAGGGCAGCTGGGGTGAGACCAAGTGAGGCGAAAACAGCAGGACCACAGAAGACAAAGGGAAGTGGCAGAGACAGAAAGAGAACTGGGGCAGAGGAGGGGTGCCCAAGAGAACAAGAAACATCAAGAGTCACACAGTGACAGAAATTGCTGCCAACACTGACAGAAGGCCAGAGAGAAGTCCCATGTCTGACACACAGAGATGTGAAAGCACCAATGCCCACAAGGGCACTGTGGGAGGCGTGAGGGGAATGGAAGGCCAGGCCCTGCTGCTTCTTCTGAAGCTGTGAGGAGGAGGGCGCATCAGCTCCCAGGTGTCCTGCCCTAACAGTTCAGATTTTATCCTAGCAAAGAAGCTGCTGCCTCTCACCCGGCTTTGGAAAACTTGGACTTTTTCGATTTCTTCTCCTTGTCATAAGTGTCATCTTTTTTCTTCTTCTTTATCTTCTCACCACCTTCCTTCAACTTCCGCTTCTGAGAATTAAAGACAAGGCACAGTTACACGGCTCCCTAACTCAGGGAGCAAGTGCACTACACAGCACTGGCCTTGCTCCGCCCAGGGGACATCCTGAGAGCTGCCTTATTTCCTTCATGAGCAACAGCTTTCAGATCGGTCCCTGGACCACAGACCTGCAGCAGGTCAACACAGCGTTCCCACTAACAGTGTCTCCTGGAAGCACCCAGGGCTGAGGCAAGAGGCCATTCTGTAGCCTGAAACTTTTATAGTTCAAGTTAGCTGTATATGGGCCCTACCTCTTGTTTTAAACATACAGGCAGTGGTGGACAGATTTCAAAATACACTCATCTTAAGGCTAACTTGTTTTTGTTGGGGTGACAGCCCTGGGAACTGAAGTCCTCTACATGTCCACAGAAGAGACACAGCAAGGCTGGTGCAAACTCCCCTCACTCCACACCCTTCACTGCCCTAGTCCCCGCCCTGAGACCACCTTGAGAAATGAATCCCTGCCGAGCCTGCTGGGACACAGGCGTGGACACCTCCAGGTCCACAGCACCTGGCCACAGTGCAGGTATGAGTAGTGACCTGTCAGCCTCGGCAGGGCTCATGCCTTTCCACCAAGCTCCTGAGCCATCCTAAACCAGCAGACATTCCGGCAAGTCACCTACTGATCTTATAAAGTCATGTAAAAAAAGCACTTCTGAAATCCAAAAGCAAGTATCATTCTAACCTTTGGAGATTTTTTCTTCTTTTCTTTAATGAAGTCATCCTCAGATTCTGATGCTTGTCTAAATTGCAGGGTTCCGGAGTTAATGTAAAATCCTCCATACTTTGTAGTCAAAGAAGCAGGAACAAGTTCATCATACTGAAGGGGGGAAAACAAATGGTCAGCTCCAAGTTCTGGTACTAATAAATAGTCCAAAGGTGCAGAGTGGGTCTTGACAGAGCAGATATGACTCTGTTCTTCTGCCACTTAGCATGCTAAGACCTGCTTCTGGTCAACCACAAATGTCCTAGCTCAAAGGTGTTTGGACGGATCTGGTCATCATTTTCAGTGAGGGAACCATGGCCAGATCAAGCGTGTCACTTCCTCTCTAACTCACCAGGGCAGCCTTTTCTTCACACTGAGGGCATGCGCACACTGACTCGATCTCCACCTCCAGGCCATCACCAGTAGAAGCTAGGGTGTGGTGGCTCCAATGGCATTTTCAGTAAAGACTTACCGCCTCAGAATTATCGATGAAGGAGTCAGATTCATCATAACCGTACCCCATGTCAATCAGGTCCTGTATCCGATCTTTTCTACGTTTCTTTCCACCCTAAAATTCAAAATAGGTCATGTGCTTTTTCCATGTGTAACTGTGGTAAAAACCCATAGCATAAGGCCTACCCTCTTAACAATAAATGTTTTAAGTCTAAGGTCACGTGCTTTTTCTGATACACAGAATTAATTGTTGCCTTGAATTCCAACAACTAGTGACTAAAGGTTGTAAATCAGTGGGTCACACACACACACACCCCTACACCCACCCCAAACCCCATTCCCTTGAAGACCTTCTAAAATAGAACAGATCTGTATCTGCACAAAATGGCCTAAGAAAAAGGAACTAAATGGCTTTGTATGCTTTGTATCAAAACTCTCATTCTAAGCATAAATTCTAGGAGTAAACCGCCCTTCTTGCTCATTCATCCACTTAGCTTCACATACTAGTGCCTGCCACATGCATTGTCTCTACCTTAATGCATTTATCTAATAATTGCATTTTGTTCTCTCAAACCTCTGTACTTGTTTAGATGATAATCCACTAAAGGAACATAAAAATGTCTGGAAACCTCTCCCACTCAACGAGGTTGTTTTGTTGCCCAAGAGAGGAATCTTACATATTTTTCTTCAAACTTCCGGGCAAGGGCCTCCACTTTATGCCTTTCCTTTTCTTCATCATTGAAAGGATCTAAGAGATCTTTCTTCTGTAAAGAGACCATTCCACAAAAATAAGAATCACAAAAAAATTCCCACAATCCTATTCATAATACCTGCACTGACTATTCAATATGCATAAACTGCATAATAAAAACAACTGTTTCAAAAAAGATAAAATACATGCTACTGTCCCAAAAGTGTTTACCTTAGCTGCTTAAGAAAATAAAGTTTCCATTCATGTAATTCAACAAAACTAAACGCCTACAATCACCCACCATAGCATTAGGTCCTAGAGGGCTCCAAATATGGCAAAGGGCCTTTAGTTAGGGATGCTCAACCTGTATAGAACTGTTTCAATATAGTTGGTTTTCTTTGTAACCCTAAAAATTATTTTACGCATTTAAAAACATTACTCTAAGAAGGTCCATACCATAGGCTTCACTGACTTCCAAAGCAGTCAATAGCTCAAAAAGGTTAAGAACGCAGTGAAAGTAGTGCAAGCCCTTGAGAGCTATTCTGCCGTATTGGTTAGTAGAGTGGTATGAACTTGCACTTCCTTCACTGCTACCAAAAGTCAAAACCAGGTTCACAGCATTCCCTTTCCCTGGAAGTTTATCTTGATGGATCAGTAATCTCGTCTTTCCTCCCAATGTTAATATGCATTCCAAATATTTTCATGTGGTTTTCCAAAGTTTATTTCTACTCCATAAACTTACTGTTTCATTTTTCTCAAGTAAATTTTCCAGAGATGGACTTTAAGATTCTCTGGCAAGGAAACTTAATTTTAATAAAAGACTCCTATACCAAATACATTTAAGACTCCAGAGTAGACCAAAATCACTAAAGATTGGATGCCTATCTTTAGACAAAATTCTATTACCCCACCCTCCCATCCCTGCCCACTGGAATCCCATCCACTCATGAAGGACCAGTTAAATGAGATATTGTGGAACGTACATATAAAAGCCACAAGTGAGTGCTCTTTAAAACATGCACTCATCTGTACTTTCCAAAGTTTTCTATAATGATCACATATAACCCAAGTGATTAAAATAATTTTAAGAAATGCCACCAATCTGGGGCGCCTGGGTGGCTCAGTTGGTTAAGCATCTGCCTTCGGCTCAGGTCATGATCCCAGGGTCCTGGGATCGAGCCCTGCATTGGGCTCCCTGCTCAGCGGGGAGCCTGCTTCTCCCTCTCCCTCTGCTGCTCCCCCTTCTTTTGTGCTCTTTCTCTCAAATAAATAAAACCTAAAAAAAAAAAAGGTTAAAAAAAATTCCACCAATCTAGAGCAGTACTAGACACAACATGTACTCTCTTCTGTCTTGCGAAGAGTGTCCAAAAAGTACTACTTCCTGCACGCATGAAGGTCCAACTCTGTCCAAACACAGCACCCAGGATGTTAAGCTCTCTGCTGTCCAAGCCCTGCAGGGCTTTGTATTTGTATCAGACTTAAACAACTGCCACATTGTAACTTCTGTTACCTGTGTTGGCATAATTCTAAAGTACCTATAAGACTGAAAGTTCCTTTGAGGCTGGCTGGGATAGTGGCTTCTCCACCTTTATATAGTCCTCAGCATCTCACCCAGTGCCTTTACATTATAAGAAACATATGCTAACTGAATTAATATACGAATCCCTCAGATTACATAATACTTTGAAAACCACAGAGTAGACACAAAGATTCAGGGTTCTGAATCTGAAGTCCAGGAGTGAATCCCCTGAAACTGAATCCAAAGTTCTCTGTGTATGCTCCAAACATTTTTCTGCAATGGAGAAGAACTTCTGGATCCCTCAAAAAGGTGAAATCAGAGCACTTGAGTTCTAATTTCAGTTGAGCCCATAAATAAAGACCTCAACCAATCCCTGCTACTGTCTCTTCCTCTCAAGGAAGAAGATCCCATTCCTACTTTGGAAAAGGAATCATGAACGGATTTGAAATTATTTTTTCTAACCTTGCCCAATAGCCCTCATATAAAAGGTTGACCCTTGGCACAAACTTACTGGCTTCCATTCAGCTAATCAGATCTTGATCAAGGAAACACATTTTTGTCTGAGCAAAGAAAATAGATAATCCTCCTAACCAAAGGCACTCACCCCCAACAGCACAACAGTGAATTAGAAGGAAGAACTCTGGCCACTGAGTTATGCCGCTAAAAACTGTACCTACATGCTATCATTCTATCCTCAAACACCCTGTGAGCCAGGTACTAGGCTGATCCTCACCTTTGCCTCAGAGCCCAGCACAGTGCACCGAGGAGTGCTTGTGCTCCTCACCTATTTCCTACCCGTGCTGCAGCATTCCGCTCCGTTTATGTAAAACACAAAAACGTGCAAAACTGATCTAAGCTGTCGAAAATCAGGGCAGTGGGCATGGAGAGTATTTTGGAAGGGCAGGAGAGGGTTTCTGGAAGATATTACATTTTACAATCCAGGCACAGGATACAGGGTGTGTGGAGTTTGTGAAAATGCATCAGGTTGTGAATTTATCATATATGCACTTTTGTTGTGTATTTAATTTAGTAAATAGTTTTAATTTTACAATGTTAATGAATTATCAGAACATCAGTAATAGCTGAAGGTGGTGATGGGTACACAGGGGCTCATTATACTATCCTCCTATTCTGTGCATGTTTGAGAAGTTCCATACTAAAGAGCAAAACAAATCTGCCAGGAAAATAAATAGGTCATTTTAAAAAACATTTAAGAAATCAAACTGATTCTCAAAAGACCTGAAAGGTACAACCCAATTCTGACAAAAATATAAAAAAACTCCCATAAAAATAGGTTTCTATCCATCCAAGTAAAGAAACTATCCTGAATCTCACTGTTCAGAAGACATGAGCAGTGTCTTTTCTTGTCTGCCCTTACACCAGGCAGAGTGAGATTCCATTGGAAAAGAAAAATGTCCTGCACAAAATTCCAGTGCTGTAACAGCCAGGGGCTGGTCACATTTACACATAACATGAACACCTTGGCATGAAAGGCTTCAGTGTTTATTATTAGCCTTAATTCATATTAGCCTTGGATGTACAGTGTTCTCTCTAGCATAAATCAGGAGAATGGTTCTAGAAAGAATTCTATCCTTTCTTGCCCAGAGGCAAAACCAGCACACCTTGTGACTGCTTTGGACTGAGTGCCATGATCTTGGGATAGCCAGAGCCTTTCTAATCTTGCTTCCACTTTCTAGACATCCCTTTTGCACAGGATGTCCCACGCATTATATCTGCAGACTGAGTCTGGGGCTGCTGGGGTGTACCTTGTCTGCGGGTTGAAGGCCTTTCACCTTCCCTCGTATGTTCTTCACCAGCTCCGGGTAGAAGAACTCTGGACAGCGCTTGTGATCTGGCTCAAAGAGGGTGAGTGTAATCCGAACAGCTGCTGCAGCCGGCTCAGAGTCCTGATGCTGTTCTGTTCCCCCAACCTCCTCTTTCCGGGATTTCTTCAAAAATGCAGGATTCAGAGAACCTGGGAGAGAGGTGAACTGGACCCTGTGGGGCTCCGACATGGCTACCAACAAGTCTTAGCGGGTGTCACTGCATGGCTTCTGTTAACATTAAAAGAAGGGCCAGGTCAAACCAAGATGATAAAAATGATTTCTCCTGTTCAGCTATTCAGATTCAAGTTTAAAAGAATTTCATTGTCAAGAAGAATCCATTAAGTTGATCTTAATTACCACTTACTGCTTTTTTCTTCTTCAATGCTATTCATCTTAAATATACCATTTTTAAATATAAATGTAAATCATCCCAAATCCTATCATTCAGAGATAGTGTTCAGCATACTTCTTTCTAGTCTTTTTTTCTATGCCTAGTCAATAGTTCTTACATGTTAGAGAATCCATGCTGATAGAGCCTTAAAGAATCCTCAAAACTGCAAACATCACCAGAGAATATTTTTCATTTATCTAACACTTTTTTTTTTCTGGCTGAGAATAATCTCTTTCTTAAGATCTCTATATTTTCATCACCAGCAGTACACTTACATTTAGGGCCCATCTTTCCAATGAGAAAGTTTTCAACAGCTCACAGAAGGTACTGCCTCCTCTGGGTAAGTAAAAAACCAGTGTCTCAGGAGGAGTGTGGCTCGGCTCATTTCCTAACACACCAGCGTCTGTCCACCCACAACTGGGCCTCGGCAAAGTGAAAAATTATCACATGCCAAAGACCTTCAAAGTTGCTTGGAAATGGTCAAAATAGACTGTAAAGCTCAGAACACCCAGGGTTTACGGAATATAAACATCCAAACACACACACACTATATATACAGTGTGTGTGTATGCTTCAGGTATAATCTTATGTCCTTTTTTAAACTCACACTCTAGTATGAACTTTCTACCATGACACTAAATAAAAATATTCACTGCAGCCTTGTTTATACAGGAAAATGGTAAAAACAACCTCGATATCCAGCATTAAGGGAATGGTTGGAAAAAAAACTGCAGCTTTTTTAAAACTGATTTATTCTTATAATCTATAAATTTTGATAGAGATATACAATGCTTGTCATATCTCTTACAACTACTTTTTCCTGCTCTGTTACTGTTTAATTTAAAGTGAGGTATAGGGCGCCTGGGTGGCTCAGTTGGTTAAGCAACTGCCTTCGGCTCAGGTCATGATCCTGGAGTCCCGGGATCGAGTTCCGCATCAGGCTCCCTGCTCGGCAGGGAGTCTGCTTCTCCCTCTGACCCTCTTCCCTCTCGTGCTATCTCTCATTCTCTCTCTCTCAAATAAAAAAATAAATAAATAAATAAAATCTTTAAAAAAAAATAAAGTGAGGTATAGTGCTCGCTTCGGCAGCACACATATACTAAAGTAAGATATAAAAGAAATTTTAATTTAGTTTTCACACTGAACTCTCTAACTTGGCTTCTTCCCACATGAATCACTAACCTTTCTTTCCCCTGACTTGGCATATATTATATAGTAATGTATTAGACATCTTAAGATCTATTATGGAAATCCAACCCGTTAGATTAATCTAGTATATCTAGACATTCTTTAACCAAAACTATACTGTTCTGAAAAATTTTTATGGTATATTTTAATATCTTCAATCAAAAATTCATCTTTATTATTCTTCTTTTAAAAATAATAGCTATTCCAGCCTGTTTATTATTTCAGGTCAACCTAGGAATCATTCTGACAAGTTCCAAAAAAAAGCTCACTGTATTTTGACAGTAATGAATGATTAGTAACTAATTCAGGAAGATTTACACATATCACATATATCTGCATATAAGAATGTCTACTTGTATACATGTAATGTTCATTTTTTTCTACTATGACCAAAAATTGTGATCACTAAGATCAGGGAATAAAATATCTAAAAATGAAGAGTTAAAATTATTCTAAGTAGGCAGCAAAGTGATGAGCAGCAAAACAGGATGGTAGGGCAAAAAACCATCGTGCACTAAAATATTGGAAAGAAATTCCCCTAAAAAAAACTTTCAAGGCCCCCAGGACATTCGTGATGCCCTGGGTTGTGAAAATAAATCACAGCTGAAAGCTGAGGCTTAAAGGTCCCCCACTGACACAAGCAGGCAAGTCACACTATAAGAAGGGAACCTTCCAGTTAACAGATGGGATAATAGGAAGTTCACCCTGGAAGGGGCAACCAGGTTCCTGTCCCTGTCAGGCAGTAATTTTTAAAATGTAACCTTATCATGGTCCAAATTTTAGACATTGTAACTTCATTCACCTAGATGGTAAAACTGCTTCTCTCAGTTGTGTGACTTTATAAATAAGACTAGTATATAAATACTAGTAAATCAACCTATAACATATTAACAGTAGATTTTGGATTAAATTTTATAATCATCACGATAATTACTTGCTACTTGTTACCAAGTTATTTGAAACATTTAAGAAAAATCAGACATATTAATGATTAACCTATTAGACTTACAATTTTAATTTGAAAAAAAACATAGAAGTTTGGAAGTGTTCATTTAGACCTGACTTCTACATCTATCAGACTTACATGAGTTATGTCTTTGGAAAGATTTTACCATTAGGCTTATAAGTACATTTTAGAAGTTTGAAGTATTTGAGAGAAAAAACATATACAACTTTAAATGCAGGGGACCTGAGTGGCTCAGTAGGTTGATCAGGTCTTGATCTCAGAGTAGTGAGTTCAAGCCCGGCTCTGGGCTCCATGCCCAAAACAAAACAAAAACAAAAACTTTAAATGCAGCTTAAAACATTTAAGGGTATTCAACATTGCAAAAAGAGTTCACTGTTTAGCGGAATGTAATTTTTTAAACTGATACATTAACTGAAGCTTTGTCAAGGGTCAAATATTTTTATTTTTATATAACTACTCTTAGATTTGTTTTTTTTTTAAGATTTTATTTGACAGAGAGAGAGAGAGACAGCGAGAGAGGGAATACAAGCAGGGGGAGTGGGAGAGGGAGAAACAGGCCTCCCGCCAGCAGGGAGTCCGAGGCGGGGTGCGATCCCAGCACCCTGGAATCGTGACCTGAGCCGAAGGCAGATGCTTAACGACTGAGCCACCCAGGCACCCCCTATTCTTAGATTTATAATTGGGGGGCGCCTGGGTGGCTCAGTTGAGTGACTCCTGGTTTAGGCTCAGGTCATAATCTCAGGTCCTGAAATCAAGCCCTGCATCCCGCTCAGCTTGGAGTCTGCTTGGGATTCTTTCCCCCTTCTACTCCCTCCCCCCTCTGCTCCTCCCCCTGCTCTTTTCCTCTCTCTCTCAAAATAAATAAAAATCTTAAAAAAAAAAGTGGGAGTAAAACTTAAAAGGCTTAAGAAAAACTAGGTATTTAAATACTCAATTTTAACAAGTTGAACATCATTCTAAATAAAAGCACAGTATTGTACACACAAAAACATCCCTCCCAAAAAACCTCAACTGGTGTTATCAAAGAAACACTAGCTTTTGCATCTTGGTTTATTCCCACGAATTACACATTTTTTCATTATACACCCTCTTAACTATTGTATGTTCAAACTGATTATCAGTGGAACAGAAAAACTTAATTTTGTATTATGATTATGTAGTCCCTTTTTTTTTTTAGATTTTTATTTATTTGACAGAGCGAGAGACAGCGAGAGAGGGAACACAAGCAGGGGGAGTGGGAGAGGGAGAAGCAGACTCCGCACGGAGCAGGGAGCCCGATGTGGGGCTGGATCCCAGGACCCTGGCCGAAGGCAGAGGCTTAAGGACTAAGCCACCCAGGTGCCCCTGTAATTAGTCTCCTTACTGAACTCATTTAATGGCTCCCCGCCCCCCCCCCACAAGAGGCTGTCCTGTCATTCCCGGAAATGAGATTTTTTTCTTCTTTCTGAAATGTCTCTTATTTTTGTTTCCTGTCTTATTGCATTGGCTAGAACTTACAGGATAATATTAAACATATATTCTTTGCCATGCTCTGACTCTCATGGAAACGCATCTAGGTCCACTGGGATGTTGATCTAAAACTCACATATTTTATCAAACCATTAAAATATCCTTCGATTGCTCAAAAATTAAGAGTTAAAATTAGGAACGTGTGTTGAATTTTATGAAATCATTTCCTGGAATCTTAAATGTGCTTTCAATTACCGGTTTGTCCTTAAGGCAATATAAAACAGTAAATGACAGCTCCTGAAACTAATTGCCAGTACTTTAGGGAAACTGAACTCCAAGGAAAACCAAGCTGCGGTCAATCCAACTCGCCAAACACACAAAAAAACACTCTTACAACCAAAGTCCCTCTATAACAAAAACACCTACAGGAGAAGCGTGAGCTTCCGCCACCTTTTCAAGCAGAGGGCGACTCAAGAAAAACTCTAAGTCGACACTTAGACATATTTGGAGTTTGCAACTGGGATTGGGACCTTTTCAGAAATCGTTATTTTCCACCCGGAGTGTTTGGGCCCTAGGCTGAACTGCTGTGAACAGTTCCCCATTCAATGACTTCGTTTTCACGTACTGAAACTACGCGAGCATCTGCCTTCCTGTTGTCACAACAGCCAGCTCCCAACTTCTCTAAAAGTGTCAAACTATAACAAGGCGTACGTGAGAGCCCGGTCCCGACAAAGACACGCACCTTTGTCCCCGGCGCGACGCAGGCTACGGCCCCGAGGGCCGCACTCGTCCCCCCGCGGCCGTCCTCATGCCGGCCCGGGCGCCCGGGCTGCGGCGCTGCTAGCGGCCGGCCCCCGAGCCATGCCTCCCGGCGGGCGGCCAACCCGCACCGCGGCCCATGGCCGGGTCCCCACGCGCCCGGGGGGGCCTCGCCGGCCGTGCCGCTGCTCCGGCCCCGTAGGAAGCGGAGAGACGCCGGCTCCACGTCGGTCGAGCAGCTCGGGACCTTGGGCAGGCTGCAGTGGCGCCTCGGGAGAACTTGAGGCGGCGGACGCGGGCTCCGAGCCGCTCCCCGGACGCCGGCCGTTAGAAAGCGCGCACCGAAAGACCCGTCCGCCCCCCGGGCGAGGCCGCGCAGAGCCCGCCCGGCGCGGGCCCGGGCGCGAGCGGAGGCTGGCTTCCAGGCCGCGCCGAGAGGTCCGTCAGGGCAGCTCCCGGTGTGGAGACACGGCCGGCCCCCGCGCGGAACTAACGGCCGTAACGGAAGCGCGAACGGGAGGGGGCTGGAGGCCAGAGCCCAGGGGCGGGGCGGGCCGCAGGGCCGGCTCCCTCACGCACTCGAACGGCCGCACCGTCGCCGCCACCTCCGCCGCCTCAGACCGCGGGCGCTTCGTTGTCACGAGCCGGAGGGAGGGGGAAGGAGCCGGGAGTCTCCGGGCTCCGGCGCGCCGAGACCTCGGCACCCCAGTCACGTGCCTCTCGGCCGGCCAATGAACTCCTGCGGGCGCGGTGACGTCAGGGCAGCGGCGTGGCCGGTGACAGCCGGCCCCCATCACGTGGCCGGGCGCACTCCAATGGGCGGTGCCGGGGCGACCTGATGTTCCCGGCGGCCCGTGCGTCGGCGGTGGTTGGGTGGTAAGATGGCGGCTGTGAGTCTGCGGCTCGGCGATTTGGTGTGGTGAGTCCGGGCGGCCAGGGCTAAGCGAGGTGCGCCGGGGAAGTCCCCCACTGGGCGCGGGGTTCGCGGCCAGCCCCGGAGCTGCTTTTCTATGCGCTCCAGGCTGCGGAGAGAGGGCGAGACGAGGTGCCGGCGCTGGGAGCGACGCCGGGCGGAAGGGGCAGCCCGGCCCCGGGGGACTGAGGCCGAGAGTGGCCGCGGCGGGCCGGGCTCTGAGCCCCAGGGCCGCCCGGGGGAGGGCTTCGCTCCGCACCTGCACGCCGGCGGCCACCGTGAAAGGAGTCTCCGGCGCCGCACAGCTCCCGCGGACGCCGGGTCCTTGGGGTCTTCCTGAGGCTCCCCAGAAAGCGGGAGAGCCGGGGAGCCCGCGGGGCCATCTCGCCTGGGCAAGCCCGTCAAAACTCGCGTTGCGATGGAACCGACCTGTGCGGGCGGCTTGGCTGGGGGTGTCGAAACCGGACTGCTGGCGCTGCCCCGCGAAGAAATGGAAGGGAGACTTCTCCTTTACAGCCGAAGGCTTGGCAGTGACCAGTGCCTTCTTGGGTGCCTCTCGTGGTCTGCTTCTGTGTCCCAGACAACCGCCCGAACCAAGACTGACTGTCGCCGCTTCCCTGGAGCGACGTAGCTCACTTCTCAACCCAGAGGAGGGTTTCCATTAGCATTTGTCAAAGCCGGGCTGGTCTCACGGTGAATTAAACCAGACTGTGTAAGGGGAAGTCTGTGTTTACATTGCAAACTACCCCCCAGCCCCCGGCAAGGGAGGCTCTAGACAAGTGACTCTTGATTGGTTTTGTTGTTCTGTATTCCTTGTCACCAAAAGAATGCACATACATTATGCACCTTTGTATTTCAGTTCTGAAGAGTTTGGGCCTCCTGGGCCCAGCTGTGGAAGCCAGATTAAGAACTCCTGTTTGCCAGCTTTTGTTTTGGCACTTGAGGGTGCAGGTGGAGAGTTAGGAAAATAAATTTCATGTTGAGTGGGTTGAAGGAGATGGACTGGCTTTTCCAGGGCAAATGCTGACTATGTGTTTTCTCTAGGGGGAAACTCGGCCGGTATCCTCCTTGGCCAGGAAAGGTGAGTGTCTTGCTCCAAATGGAAGATATCTGAAGTTGAGTTTAAGAAGGTGGAGAATGTAAGATTCATTCCCCTCAGTTTCTGGCGTTTAGTTAAACTGGACCTATTTAAATAACAGAGTTTTTCTCTCTCTACTCTCCGTTTGTTTAGAAAAGACAATATAATATAAACCAGGTCATTTAATCTGCAGTAAATGCTTATCTCTTGAATCAGAGATGGTTTTGGTGAAGTTTTTTAATCCTGAAAATCAATTCTAATTTGAATTTAGCTTTACACTTAAATGTAACAAAAGGAGAAGAAAAAATTCTCCAGGAAGAGAGGAATCTAAATGTAGGTTAGTGAAAAGTCAAAGTATTTTTGTCCCAACTAAGTTTAAATCTTCTTTCCATGTTACCATATGTGCTGCTCCAGTGCATCTTTGCAGAAGTTGGCATTCCAGATTTTGCATGAGGCGATCCGTCATAGCTTTCCAAATGTTCTGTTTTTATATTCTTGCTAGGAGCCCAGGAAATGTCTTTAGACTGTCTCCTTGCAATATGGCATTTTCATTGCCTCAGTTGTTCTTCATTGTCATTATTACCTGTCTCAGCTCTTCCTGCACAATTTTTTTTAATTGAAGCATAATTGACATACAATGTCGTAGTAGTTTTCAGGCGTACAACATATTGATTCAGTAATTCTATACATTACCCAGTGCTTACCACGGTAAGGATACTCACCACCTAACATCATTACTTCACTGAAGTATGTGTAAAAGTGTTCTCTGCATTTCTTCAGTGATGACAGGGTCACGTGGTTGGAGGAGTTGATGTTGATCTTACGCTTTTAAAACAGAGCCATTGCAGTAGAAGGGATATTCTACCTACTGAACACTGCTACATGGTAGATGTAGGGAACTTCTAGAATATTTGCACATTTCCACACATCTCAGTAGAAAAGTGCCAGACTTGGACATGTACTACCTGGGTTCTTTTTAAGCCTGTTCCTTTTGTTTTATTTCATTTTTTTTCTTATCAACTTAGAAGTGTGGAAAAACCTTTCCCCCCCTTTACTCCCCAGATTGTTAATCCACCCAAAGACTTGAAGAAACCACGTGGAAAGAAATGCTTCTTTGTGAAGTTTTTTGGAACAGAAGATCAGTGAGTAGTGCTCATCAAGAGTTTCACTTTCCCTTTGGGCGTTGCTCTGGATCTGAGCTTCTTGTGAGAATATTCGAAGGACCCTAGTTCATTTTTACTGTAGTCTGTCAGGCATATTGTTCTGGCTTTGTATACCTAAATAAAAGGTGCTATTCTTAGCTTATAGAAATTGTCCTGGGGCCAATAACAATTTCAGTCAAGTGAGAAATAGGACTCACTATTTTCTAAAGATGATAATCACAATAAGATTATTTCTCACATCTCTTTATCGAATCCCATAGGTAGTTCTTTTTATTAGGGCCATGTTTGGTTCTCTTTTAATGGCTGGTTATCATTGTGGTTCATGTATGAGGTTTACAGTGAAATCAGGACCATTCATTTGAGATTCTGTGATAGGCCATATAGGTCACAGTGAGGAGGAGAATGTGTATTTACCTGAATTTCCAGTGATTTGTTCAGCTCTCTGGTTATTACATGGATTTGATTACCTGGGTGTAGCTAGATGGTTTAAGTAGTTGTATTTCTACTTACGATTTTTAGAGAAAAATGTAGTTTGGCGTTTGAAAAATGTGAGTTTTCTGAGGAATCTAATACCAATGGTTAAAATATATGTTCTTAGAAAGTGATATATGATATTCTATAGCAAAATCTCTTATAAACGGTGTTCTTCACTCATTCAGGAGTTTATATGCCAGAGTGCTCAGCCTGGGTTAGAGGGGTTTTTTTGTTTGTTTAGTTTTTTAAAGATTTTATTATTTATTTGACAGAGAAAGAGACCGAGCATGCATGGGCGAGCACAAGCAGGGGGAGAGGCAGAGGGAGAGGGAGAAGCAGGCTCCCCACTGAGCAGGGAGCCTGATACGGGGCTCCATCCCGGAACCCTGGGATCATGACCTGAGCTGAAGGAGACGTTTAATGGACTGAGCCACTCAGGCGCCCCCTGGGTTAGAGTTTGGCATGTTTATCTTCACCATGCAGGTATACCCAGTTCTCTGTCACAAAACAACTTAGCAGCCTTTTGATGACAATATTCAAGGGAGTCACTGGCTTCTGGTATATAACACAAGTGCTAATTGTACAGCCACACTTCGAATTGTTGACACCAAAAGGAACTTCCAGAGAAAAGCAAATGTTGTGGTCCTTGCCTTTCAGGAATTCAGGTGACAAGACATAAACAGTTCAGATGGGAATAAGTGCAGAGTGAGTGATACAGGTGACTATTAAAGCGTTCTAGAACACGGAGAGATCAGTGGAGAAACTCAGGTCATAGAAGGGTGATGGAAGGGGTGCCTGGGTGGCTCAGTCGTTAAGCGACCTTCGGCTCAGGTCATGATCCCAGCATCCTGGGATTGAGCTCCACATCAAAAAAAAAAAGAAGAAGAAGAAGGGTGTTGGAAGAGATGGAGTTAGAATCTACCTCTGGAGGACAGATAGAATTTGAATAGGCAGGAAGAAGAAGGGCAGTGCAGGCAGTGGGAATACTGTGAGCAACTGGGTGTTAAGTTGGATGCGTGGGCAGAGAGGCTCCCCACCTGGGGTAAAGAACTGTGCTTGAGAATAACAGGCAATATGGTTGACCCAATTTGGTTAGCTAAACGAAGATGTACAAGTCTAAAACAAAAGTGGAAACTCTTGGAAAGTAGAGGCTTGATCAGATTACAGGAGGCCTGAAAGCCATTGTGTTCTTATAATTTAAGCAAATGCTGGAAGGTCAGAAGAGTAAACAGATGCCTACTACAGGTGAGACAGGAAATTGGAGTTGAGTGCATTTCAGCACTTAACCGGGCACACAAGTGAAGCCAATGAAAGGGATGCACTTACTGAACACAAAAATAACCTAATGGTGTTAGTAGTGGTGGTGGTGATGTGATTTCTAACTAAAATTTTTTGAGGGGATTCATAAGCAAGTGGATTTTGGGCAACTGTTAGATATAATATCTTTAAGCTTATAAAACTCCCTTGGTAGAATTCCACATAAAAACTTATTGAAAAACAAGTTGTCACAGGACCAACACATTATCTTTTTGTGGCTAGGCGGTTGACAATGAAAAGAAACAGGGTAAGGATCTCCAAGCACTTGTCTGAAGGGAGAAGCGTTCTTAGCGATCAGTGATCAGCAGACATTATTTACTATCTTTAAATTATCTGAAGGTGAAGTGTCCAGGGAATTACTTTGAGGAAAGAGCTCTGGATTTGATGCTGGCCTGCTGTGCATTCAGATGCCATCGCACCTGCCCTACAATTTGGGCAAGCTGTTTTCACCTTTCTAAGCCTTTGTGTCCTTGCCCATATGTGGGATGATGCTCCCTACCTCGTTATGCAGGAGAAGTAGTGTCACTTGTTCCGTAGGATGGTGTGGTATACAGCAGGGGTTCAGTAAACTTCAGGTGGCCGTATAGATATATTACAAGGGAGAGAATAAGCTGGTAAGAAGCAGGTGGCTTTAAAAAAAAATAAGGGAAACTTGAGAGATAGGATTTGTGTTTGGAAAAGGAAGGCATTTGTGTTGGAAATTCCTAAGGACTTCAGCCAGGTCTGTCTTTTTATTTTGTTTTGCTTTTTTTTTTTTTTTAAAGATTTTTTTATTCATTTGAGACACAGAGATACAGAGAGAGAGAGAGCATGAGCAGTGGGAGAGGCAGTGGGAGAGGGAGAAGCAGACTCCCCGCTGAGTCAGGAGCCCGATGTGGGGCTCGATGCCAGGACCCTGGGATCATGACCTGAGCTGAAGGCAGATGCTTAACCATCTGAGCCACCCAGCCGCCCCTTAAAGATTTTATTTATTTATTCATGAGAGACAGAGAGGCAGAGGGAGAAGCAGTCTCCCAAGGAGCAGGGAGCCTGATGCGGGACCCGATCCCAGGACTCCGGGATCATGACCTGAGCTGAAGGCAGACGCTTAACCATCTGAGCCACCCAGGCGCCCTTGCTTTGCTTTTTTGTTTTTTAAGATTTTATTTATTTGAGAGAGAGTGAGAGAGAGAGTGACAGCACAAGCAGGGAGGAGAGGGAGAAGCAGGCTTCCCGCTGAGTGGGGAGCCAGACACAGGGCTTGTCCCAGGACTCTGGGATCATGACCTGAGTCTAAGGCAGACGCTTAACTGACTGAGCCACCCAGGGGCCCCCAGATCTCTTCTTTGGACCAAAAAGGCTTCAAACACAAAACAGTAAATTGTTCCACTCTTTTTTTTTTTCCCTATTGTTCTATCTTTATGGAAAAACTATGCTGTGCCTTGCCAGGAGTGCTGTGTGCAGTTGAGTCCGTGCTCCCAAAGGGATCTGATGGAACTAATTAAGATCAGAAAAGAGGACCAAGTCAGATCAAAGAGTAGGATTCTTTAATGTGAAAAAGTAGTCTGAAAAAGAGCACAATCAGAATTGTTGAAATGCTGAATGACCCTAAGAAGATAAACACTGACCTGTTCATAAATCATCAGACATTTCCGATAGCAGCCCTGTGAGTAGAACAAATGCTGTGGTGACCAAGTTTAGGGCATGCATAAGAAGTACTGTAGGAAACAGACTTTTGAGAAGTGTTTTAGATGGGAAGTACAAGTGGATTTTTAGAGATGAGTACTGCTTTGTGAAGGGCAAGGCTATAGGTGGTTTCAGAAGAAACTGGGCTCTACCTCACCTTTGATGCTTGAAGTCAGGGAGAGGGGCATATGCTCCTCGCACATGTTGGTTACGGGGCTCTGACTTTTGTGCATAGGGGCTCACCCCATGGGGCTGCTCCTGAATTTCTGAGCAATATAAGATTCAGTCAGAGATGTTCCTTTTCAAAATTGTACACTATGTATGGGGAAAAATATTTATAAATAAGATTTCTTTAATATTAGCAGGGATCTTTATTAAAAGAGTGAAAAGGGTAGCTCCTTAAGATAAAGATTTCAGCGGCTCAGTCAGTTAAGCCCAGGTCATGATCCGAGCAGGGAGCCTGTTTCTCCCTTTCCCCGACTTGTACTGTCTGTCTCTAATAAATAAATAAAATCTTTAAAAAAAAAAAAAAAAAAAGGAAGATAAAGATTTCAATCTTCTAGAAAACTAGTTTTTCTCTCTCCCTTCCTCTGTCAAAACATCTGACAAATTGTGTTGATGTCCTGTTAGGAAGAGAGAGGACCAGACCTTCCTAACCAATGTCCTATTAGGAAGAGAGGACCAGACCTTCCTAACCAGCCGCCCCTGGAAGGGGAAGGACTTAGTAAGATGGCTGGATTCAGCTGTCTGAGCCTGGATGGCGAGTATGGGGGTTACTTATGGTTGTTTTCTATTTCATGGAGATACAAAGGGAAAAATAACTTTAGCATAACTTTGACAACTCTGCCAGGTGACCCCACCCACAGATGAAGTCTCGGGCACATGAGAGCCCACCTTGGGCAGGGAGTTGCCCATCAGAATAGAAACTGAGCTCAGGGTTTGAAATTTTCATCAGGGGCCATGGATGGCGGAATGGAGGGAGCTCATTTAGTCTGTGGGTGTTCAAAAACGCCCAGAGATAAACAGTTCAAGAGAAGACTACTGGCAAAAGAAGATAGATCCCAAATGACCATCTGAGAGTTTCTGTAGCAGTCTTCATACCTGATCCTACAACAGCCGTTTTGGGAAATGGATAGGATATTTGTTCTGGTTCTCAATTTTTAACAGATTTGTACACTGAGAGGCAGGAGATTTGTGGAGTTCAGTGATAGAATGTCCAGGATCCCAACCTGAGATACTTTTTTCATCAAGGCAGATATAAGGTATGAAGTGAGTACTAAAGTAACTCTTGGAGAAGAACCTGTCGCTTGTAATTACAAGCAGATTGGAGCCATCCGAGCATCCCTCTTTCTTTTCGCCTGGCACATGATCGCCCTGCTTTCCCTACATCCAACACTGTGCAGTAGCTGGAGAATGGAGCCAAATGGATGGTGAGCGCGCTGTTATTTGGACTGAGCCAGCAGTGTCCCTCTGCCAGGGCTGGAGAATACCTGTCCTAGAGAGCACTGAGTAGATTTTCCTCTCCCAGCACCAGCATCCATCCTACAGGTGACTCCCCTCATGGCTGAGAAAGTGGACTCCACGAGCAGGTGTGTCATGCACCAGAATTAAAGAATCTGGCCCAAAAGAAGCAGCTGACCATATCGGCATAGACAACACAGCTTGAAAGCTTTCTCCAGCATTTGGGAATGTTTTCAAGTTTTGAAAACAGAATCTTCTAAATCTATTTTATCTGCAAGTCTTTGTTGATGTCTGTATGATAATCATTGCTTAAGATTAACTGACAAACTCTTATTTTCTTTGTGGCTTTTTTTTTTTTTTTTGATTTGTGGGTTTTTGGGTGTCTTGATTTCTGAACAGCTTAGACTTGGAGCTGTAACAACTCGGTAATCTTCAGCCTCTTTCAGTGGTTTTAAAGCAGGGCAAGCATACAAATCATTTGCTCAGTACTCACCGAATCTAGATGGAAAAGCAACTCATGTCTTCTGTCCCCGTCTTTGTTCTCACCTTTGGACTGTGCTGACACGTGTGTGTTCTCCCTCCCACCCCCACCCCCACCCAGGTCATTGTGTCATGCAAAGTCTGAGACACATACGTGAGAGTTTTGGAGATTATTCGTAGACCCACATGTTTAATATGATGTGTACATGGTATGATTTAACCTAAGGGAAAAGCAGGTCAGAATTATGGAAGTATTTGAAAATGTGAGGTGGTTAATTTCGTTTTGAGTGGAGTGTATAATCTGAGAGTGGCTTATAGTGGAAAGTTTATATTCGCAAGTGAAAAGAATTTACAGGTGTATCAGAATACCATAAGTTTGCTGCTCCTGGCTGTGTTACAGGTGCAGTTACACCGGCAACCAGGCAGTAGCTACTCACCTGAGGAAGTCATGGGGGCACCCTCTGGGTAGAGCAGCCCATGTTCTACAGCAGAGACCTTTATTGTTGATTTGTTGTTTCTTAAAGTTAATACATGTTTATGGCACCCCCCCAAATTAAGCTATGAACTGTAAAACAGTTCCATTCATTCCTGTCCCTCAGCCACCCAGTTACCAGCCCTTGGGCATCCAGTTGTATCTAGTTTCTTATGGCATGTCCTTCCAAAGACACTGTGTGCAGAATCAAGAAATTACATATTCCTTTTTCCTTGTTTTTACACAAGTGATAGCGTAGTTCACACACTGTTCTGCATATTGCTTTCTTCCACTTAGCCAGATATCTCAAGGGACCTTCCATTTTGTCCTTTGTAATGACGTCACTGATTGCCACTACAAACAATGGGATTTACTTCCTTGTACGTAAAAGCAAAGGCCCATACTTTACACACCACTTGACTAAGCTTGATTTTTGACTCCCAGCCCAACAGTAAATTAGGTAGAAAAAGGTCCAGCTCCTTCCGGGCATCAGGAGGATGATAAGGAAATCATAAGTCGCAGCTCATATCACAGAAAGAAACAGAAGTCACCTAAAAAAAATAATAACGGGGCACCTGGGTGGCTCAGTCGGTTAAATGTCCCGACTCTTGATCGCAGCTCAAGTCTCAATCTCAGGGTCATGATAAAACAAACAAAAATGTACAGGCAACAGCAACAACCAGAAAAGGCCACCAAAGCCTTAGAACATTTAACCCAGAGGCCATCATTCCAGCCCCTTTGAATATGCTTGGAAGGCATCATTTACTCGGTGATTATTGAGCACCAGTTGCATGCCAGGCCCAGCTGATGGGCCTCAGTGAGAATGGTACATTATTGAAGCCCTGGATGAAAAGCATACTCTTTAAGGAGACAGGGTTTTTTTTGCAATATAGCCTTTAGAGAAAAAACTATTCAGAAGGCTAAAGTGATTTCAATTTGGCTCGCTTTCAAGAGGTAATCCTCCTAGGGCTCTGGTGGGCTGGCTTTTTTATTTACAGTTTTTCTGATTGGGGCACAGTGCTTCAACAATAGGCTGATTTCTTAACTAGATTAATATTTCTTGGATTTATCCTCTTGATATTTATACTGTCCATTCTTTTAGCAAACCATTTTCACTTTTCAAAAATGGCCAGAGAGGAAAATTTCATTTTAGGATGCAAATGCCAGAATGGAATTTTGACTGTACCATTCTTCTGGCAGAAATCAGTAATCCACTTAAAGTGCTTCAGTGGAAAAATGGGCATGGGTTGTTGGTCCTTCCTCCACGGATGTCCTTACCTCTCCACTTCCTCTGGTTCATGTGGGGAGAGGGAGGCAGGGATTAGGATGCCTAGAGTGTATTGTCCCATCTCAGGGAGCTCCATAAAACCACCCCATTCATCTTACACCAAAACTTGTGTGGGTCTCAGCTTCTAACCTGAAGCTCAGAGAAGGAAGAGGCATGTCCAGAGCACGTGGCCCTTTAAGCCTTATCGCTGGTATTTGTGTCATCTCAGTAGGACAGCTTAACCTGCTTTTCAGGGCATGTCTGGCTTTGCATCTGCTCTGGTGGTCTGTCCTTAGAAACACTAAATGGGAGGAGAAGTAGGAGGGTCTGTTCAGTGGTGTACCTGCCAGGCAATGTAAGGTCAAAATATGATTCCGTTTTTCCTCCCCATAGAACAGACCAATGCATTCTATTATGGCAAGTTTCAGACTTTAAGATGAGTTAGTCACTGGAAGGTACCTGCTTACCTTACCAGGTTGGAACTTTATGCAGTGAGACAGCATCTGAGTCCTTGTTCATCGTTCCGTTCTCTGTGGCTTTGTTTAGCCATAGATAACATGCTTAGTCCTGGTTTGCTATCACATTTATAGGCTAATAGTCCTACGGCTATTGTGTTTGTACAGATCCAAGGTCACAATTATTAGCATAACACTTAAAGGATAGGTGGCTGTTGGTGGGTTGACTAAACTATTTTTATGTAGAGATTAGCACTTTTTTTTTTTTAAATGGGTTCCATGCCCAGTGTGGAGCCCAGTGCAGGGCTTAAACTCATGATCTTGAAATCAAGACCTGAGTTGAGATCAAGAGTTGGACGCTTAACTGACTAAGTCACCCAGGCGCCCCACATTTTTATTATTCGTGACTATTCTCCAGCTTTCTCTAAAGGAGAGGACCCTAAGTGTGGTAGCTTAGTTTCTCTATCCTTAACCTGATCCCTTTTTTCAGAATGTTATGCTGTGAAACCTGTGAGTATTACATAGTAAAAATGTATGTAAGTTAACTGTTACCTTGCCAAGCCTATAAAATCCTCTCCTTTGTACTGGGATGCTGAATGTCATTTAGAAAAACCACAGGAAGCCATCTGGGGCAGATTTGTTCAGGTCAGTATGGTAGGCCAGATATTCCAGAAGTGACAACTGATGGCTTTTTTACTTGGTGTGTTACACATTGATGGTAGGAATTAAAAAATAAACATCATAAGGGTATGTTGTACCTTTAATCACAAGCAGAATCTTGTTTCTAAAGACCTGTTACGACTGCTGCCCTAATTCCAAATCATGTGTCACATGTTTTGTGTGGTTTAGTAGCCACAGACAGGATCATTTATGACCAAATATCTGTAAGAGGAGCAGATTTCAGATGCTGCATTTCTTGAGCCATGGGAGCATCCCTGATTCTCAGTTGATGACAGATTGTCATTCTGGTTTGGGTGTTGACTGGGCAGTGATGTTACTGTGGTCGATTATGCTTCCTGATGCCCTCGGTCCATCACGGGCCCCTGTGATGAGAATGGAAGAGCATTGCCAGGCTTCCCCTGCCCTACACAAGTGGCAGGCGATGTGTGGTTTAGTGTAGAAGGCTGGTGAACGAGAACAGACATAAATAGCCTGCAACTTGTGGAGGATATTCTGGTTTTGGTGGTGGTGGTGGTTGTGCTTGACTTGTTTCAGGAAGACATACTTTTTATAACACCCCAAGAGTTTGGGGTGGGTGGTAACATGTTTTGAAAAAAAAGCAGGCCTGGTTCAAAGTCCAGTTAAACCAAACGGATATTTGCATTCTGTTGTGATGAGGTATTTGATAATTTCTGGCATGGGCAGTGTGGATCATACCCTTTCTGTGTGTGTTTTCTGCTAGTGCCTGGATCAAAGTGGAACAGCTAAAGCCATACCATGCACACAAGGAGGAAATGATCAAGATCAACAAGGGAAAACGATTCCAGCAGGCTGTGGATGCTGTCGAAGAGTTCCTCCGGAGAGCCAAAGGGAAAGACCAGGTGAGAGACTGATTCTTGCTTTATTCCAGCATCTGACTGGTTATTTTGGCATAGTAACTAACAGATTAAACATGGCCCAAACCTAAACTCTATTTTTATGCTATGCCAGTGGCGAGAACACTACTTCAGTTCTAGGGTATCCGCGTTTGGCTTATCAGCTTGAAACTCCATGCATGCGGCAGACTTTTCTGAAATAGATTGCTGTTCTTAGGAAAGTCACTTGGACTCAGGAGAAGTATCTCAGCTTTTGAGTACAACACAGGCATTTCTCCCTTTGACATCCTAGAGATTAGGAGTGTTCTTGGGTATATCCACTGCCTGGGTGTAAATCCCACTTCTTAGCTTAGGGTACGGGCAAGTGATTTGACTATATCTGCTTCCCCAAGTATCAGTGGAAGCAATAGCAGAACCTATTTCATAGGGTTGTTGTGTGGATAGCACATGTAAAGCGCTTCTCCTAGGGTGTCTGGCTCGTGTAAATGGCGGTGGCGGCGGCAGTGGCTGCTGTGGTGGCTATCATTGTTATTATTAAACTTTCAGACATCGTCCCACAATTCTGCTGATGACAAGAATCGGCGTAATTCCAGTGAGGAGAGAAGTAGGCCAAACTCAGGTGATGAGAAGCGGAAGCTTAGCCTGTCTGAAGGGAAGGTGAAGAAGAACATGGGAGAAGGAAAGAAGAGGGTGTCTTCAGGCTCTTCAGAGAGAGGCTCCAAGTCCCCTCTGAAAAGAGCCCAAGAGCAGAGTCCCCGGAAACGGGGTCGACCCCCAAAGGATGAGAAGGTTTGTTTTACCTCTGCAGCTTCCGGGATTAGTGACTTCCTTCTGTCTGTGAAAGAGTTGAGCTCTACAGTGTGCCTCAGCTAACTGAGTGGACATAGAAACCTGTGCTAAGCACTGCCCTAAAGAATCCTGCAGACCAGGGGAGGGACTCAGCCTGGGTGCACAGGTATGAAATAGGAACACAAGGCAGCAAAGGATCTCGCATTCAACTAAATGGTCGAGGCGGGAGAACAGTCCGCCTGAGCCAGTATGCAAGGGCTGGCACTGGTGGAAGGGGCTTAAGAAAGAGGGGAAGGCATTCCAGAGACAGAGGGCCCAGCCTATGTAGGGCTTGATGTTGGCGTGGATATTCTTTTTATAGGTAGGGGACAGGGAGGAGAGCAGAGAGCTAAAAGTGGGTTGTCACTGGATTGTGGAAGGCCTTGAGGTCTACTGAAGCAGTATTTACTGTCATGGAGTCCATAGGGGGCCACAAACATGTTGGGAGCTGGGTGTCAGGGTGGTGGTGTGCTCCAAGCTGCGTCTTAGCAATGGTGGAGGGCAGAGAAGAAAGGCTAAAACTGGTCAGGAAGCTAAACCCAGGTTTGCATTTATGTAAGGAGCTATATTGATAGCAAATACTGAAAGGAACTGCCTGAGAGGCATTTCAGAGGAAGAGCTCCTAAGATTTAGCAACGGGTTACAGAGGAAAGGGGGAGGGAGATGATTTCACGTTTTTGTTTGGAAAATGGTAATAACTTTCTAAAGAGCAAGAGTCAGGAGTAGGGTTGGCGAACGGAGCAAGAGGACTAGATCTGTTTTGAGTGTGATGAATTTGAGGTGATGCCAAGACTATTAGGGAGCCTTGAACTAATGTCAGGATGGAATGTAGATGTGGGAGGCAACTATGTAGAAGTATGTTGGAGAATACATACAAAGTATATCTGAGGCCCTGTGGGATTGGTCTTCAGAGAAAGTAAGGAGGGAGCAGAGTGAAGGGTAGGATTCTGCTTTGCAGGGAAAATACCCGTAGGTCAGAGCTGGAAGGATTCAGAGGAGCCATCACAGTGAAATAAAGTGGAAGTAACGTACCTTTCACCTTCCTGAAGAGATTTGGGTCAAGTCTCAAAAGCCAAGGGAAGAGAATTCAAGATGGAGGGGGTAGTCTGTGAAAACATAGGGGACGACTGTTAGAGCACAATCAAGGGCAGAGGAGCCAGATGGCTGGCAGAAACAGTTGGGTGATAAGGCCTTGACAAAACACTAGACCGCATCAGATCACGGCCTGCAAATTCAGACACCAGCGCGACCAGACAGGTCATGGCAGCAAGGGGAGGCTGGCTGAGGGTCTGCAGCCCTGACCTACCTCCACACTGAGAGCACTAGGGGTGGCAGCAGCTGGTGCTCTGGGGAGGTCATTGCTCTGTCCATGGGGTCCCAGCCAACTTTTGCCAGGTCATCTGGTTTTTCCTCTAGAGAAGCTGGAAATACTGATTTTTATGTGTAACATTCCAATTTTAAGTGTTACACACTAATTCAAAATTTTAAAATACTTTTAGGTCCAAGGAACATCTCTGGGCCAGATTGAGCCTGTGGGCTGCCAATCTAACCACTATGTTAGAGAAAGTTCTCCCCATCAGACAAAGCCGAGACTGAGAGTAGACAAGGTGACTAGCGGTCAGGACAGCCCTGGCTGACAGCACAGGGAACTGCCAGCCAGAGGTGGAGAAGGTGGAGAAAACAGCTAGCCATGGTGCAGAAAGAACTTTTCAGGGGGTGTGTTCTAATTTGATCCAATTGAATTGATTTCCTGGGGATCCAGAGGCATCTGAGCTGTCAGGTTTTATACTGTTCTCCAAATTCCTATTTTCTGCTTTCTAAAGCCGTGGATCTCACCAACTCCGTGCTGGCCCTGCAGAGAAACGACATCTTTTTGGAAAAAGAGAAGTGTGCAGGAGAGGTGAGGAGGAGGTCTGAGTCGGAACTGTGACTCCATAACTTGCTGCAGCTGTGTGGCCTTGGCCAACTTCCTTTGCCTTGGTTTCCTCGTCTGATCATTGGGAATAATAGTGATACCTGTCTCTCAGGTTTGTCGTGAGAATTAAACGAGTAACAAGAGCAAAGCATCAAGAACGGTGTGCCGTGCACCACACATTTGATGAATGGCTTTATGTTTGTCAGTGTCTGGCAGGAGCCTGTTGTACAGTGAGAGCGTAGTGGTTTTAGTGTTACCCGAGGCCGCCACCGGGCATTACTGCAGGGACTCTTCTCACAGGCTCCCAGGGAAAAGCAGTTTGCCCTTGAATCTGAATTATTAATCAGGGGATAGTAACATTTCTGCTGCCATTCTTGGAGTCAGGTCCCCAGCCAAGAGGTCTACTTGCTCTTTACTCTTAGCGCAGTACTTCCTACAGTCTCCTTGCTTGGCCGGCCTCTAGTGAAGGATTTGTCAGCTGGAGAGGAAGGAGTGTGGCTAGTGGTGCGGGGCAGACACAGCCCTTTTAGTTCAGACAGTTGGTTTTAATTAAGCACCTTCAGAGATGTAGGGAATCTGGGCTTGGAATTTTGGTGCATCTTCTGATCTAATAGGTCCTGCGGTCTAAAAAGAGTGTGTGTTGCTACAGTAGTGGCTTCTTTCTGAAATAGCAGTAGCCTAGGCTAATAACTGGGCAAAGTCTCAGATGATAGCTAGTTAGATAGTTAGGAGCCATAATCCCCTGTCCTGTGAGGATTAGTGGAAAAGGCTGACCTTTTGACACAGAGGCGTCAGTCACGTGCATACAGGGAAAGCCTGGGTTCGTGCCTTGGCTGTGGTGTGAGAGGTGTGCCCTCATCCTCTCTCAGGGGCTCTCATTTCCAAGTCCTGGGCTGAGAAGAACTGCAGCTCTGGGCACACAGCACCCTGACAGCACAGAGCCCACAGGGCTGTGGCTCTCCTCAAATCCCCGAGTGATTCAGGGACTGCTGACTGGGGAGTCGGGGCCTTCCGCTGGTGCCAGATGTAGAGCCAGTGTCTCCACCCCACTCTCCTGTCCTGAGACCTTAAGCAGGTCACTAGAGCTGTGCTGCCCCTAGCCACAGGGGACAGATACAGAACATGTCCATCGCGGCAGGATGTTCTTGGGACAGTTCTACACTAGGCCTCTTTTTTCCCCAGAGCTCTTTGTTCAGCACGGTTGATCGAGAAGCCCCACATAAGCCAGATGTCTAGCGATAAAGCAGCATGATAGCTAGACCAGGCCCCTCTCATGTTCACTTCTTCAGTAAATAGCGAGCATCTCCTCTGTGCCAGGCATGGCTCCCCACATGGGATACAGAGTAAACAAAATTGGCAAAGGTCTTGCTTTCATAGAACTCACTTATAATAACATCAGCATCATGTAGGAAGATACAGAGGGGTCATCGATAAGGTGACATTTCCGCAGAGACCTGAAGTGAGCATGTGAGTCAAGCAGGTAACTGTTGGAAGAGCGTTCCTAGTAGTGCAAAGGCATATGCTTGATGTGTTTGGGGAATGGCTGGAGGGCCAAGGTGGTGCTGGTGAGTTGGAGAGTGGTGAGGGGGAGAAAATATAATAGGATATGAATTCGGAGTAGGGTGGAGTTGGGGGGTTGTAGAACTTGTAGTGCCCCGTAGGCCTGACTGTGTGAGACAGGAAGCCAGTTGTAGGCAGAGAAGTGTCCTGCTGCACTCTTGCTCCTGTGTCTAGTCTAGACTGCAGGGTTCCAGAACGGAAGCAGGGGGATCCTTTTTGCTACAATCGAAGTGGCAGGGGATGGCAAAAAAAGGGGTCACCGATCCGCAGCTGTAAAACCATAATCATTGCTAGCAGATAAGAGGAGGGTGGAATCAAGAAGGACTGCAAAGATCTCACCCTGGTAGAACGGAGCTGCTTTTCTAAGACTGTGAAGACTGTGGAAGGCATCATTGGGGCGGGGAGATCCAGAGTTCAGTAGGGCGATCAAGATTCCCATGAGATATCCAAGTAGAAATGTCAGGAGGGCCACCGTGGCTGGAAGATCCCACATGTGGAAAGGGAGTGTGCGGTGAACTTGGTGGAGGGGATAAGACACAGCAGGTGTCAAGCTGAAGCAGCATACTGCCCAGGATGGGTGTGGGCCAGGCTGTTGGGGAGGAGGTGCACCCGTTCCACTGGGTCCTGCCCTGGCATCAGCCTGGAGAGAGAGTGGGGCTCTTGGCTCCCAGCTGCCCTGGATTGGAGGTCTGGCTTTGTCACTTAGTAGCTTAGTAGTTAAAACGCTGGGCACAGGGGCGCCTGGGTGGCTCAGTTGGTTAAGCAACTGCCTTCAGCTCAGGTCATGATCCCGGAGTCCTGGGATCGAGTCCCGCATCGGGCTCCCTGCTCCGCAGGGAGTCTGCTTCTCCCTCTCACCCTACCCCCTCTTGTGCTCTCTCTCTCTCTGTTTCAAATAAATAAAATAAAATCTTTAAAAAAAAAAAAAAACAAAACGCTGGGCACATTTCCTCATCAGCACCATGTGGCTTTCTTAGTTTTTCCTTTTTTTTTTTTTTTTGAGATTCTCTCTGAAGCCAGTACTGTTTTCTTAATATTCATTATTGGCCATAAGGAATCTTCTCTGTGACTTGCTAACAACACTGCACACCATAGTTGGGCTTTCCAGAGACATCTGTCCTTGTGAAACTTGGGCACAGAAGACAATTTGTTATTTCAAGAACAGAGAAGAAAGCTTTGCTCCATGTTGATGAGAACTTGCCTGGTTTCTCCCAGTGGACGGTCAGAACCGTGCCTGGGGACTTAGGCCAAGACTGGAGTTGACTAGGGGGTTCATTTGAGGTGGAATGTAACTGAAGGAAGCGAAGAAGTGAAGAGGTGCTCCCCGATTTGGTGCAGGAAGACATCTGCTACTGAGGTGGCCTCAGTGTCTTGACCATCTGCCTTTCCCTCTCTAGGATCTCACCATCCCTGAGTCTAGTACCGTGAAGGGGGTGATGGCTGGACCGATGGCCGCGTTTAAATGGCAGCCGACTGTGAGCGAGGTAACAAGCTCTCCCGCAGGCCAGGATAAGCCCAGCCTCCAAGCTGGTTTCCTGGCCTGTGTTAGGCGCTTTTCCTTTCCCCATTTTTTAAATTGCAAGAAAGTACTGAGGTGTTTGAGGGGGAAAAGTGCAAGTCTCCACCCTCATGGGTGCTCAGTTTCATTCATGTTCGATGTAACTTCTTCCAGACCCTTTGCTACAACCCCCACTCACTCATCATTTATAGAATTATATACCCACATGGGGTTTCTATTGTTGGGAATAGGGTTGGTTTTCACAAATGTGGGATTGGCCCACAGGTTTTTTCACTTAATGCTTTATAGACACCTTTCACTGTTCACATATACAACTCTGCTGTTCAGTGGCCCCTTGGAGTGGATGCCCCAGTCCCCTGTTGAGCCTAATTGTGAAAACCCTTGAAAGTCCTGCACTCATTGCCCTGCATTCCTGTTTATATCGATCCTCCATGAGACGAGACACTCAAGGGTCTGGCACCAGACACAGTAGGTAAAACCCTGAAATTGGGAGAGTCCTGAGAATTGATTTGGCCTCGCCTACTCAGTTATCCAAAGGGACTGGTAAATGCTGCATTTTAAAAATACCAGTATACCTCTTAAATATTTTCCTGCAGTGTTGCTAGAATAATTTTTATGCCACCCTGACAGAACTGTCTTTTCTTTTCCACTTTGTGGAAAAGTAGCCAGTTTCCCTCTAGCTGGAGCAGGGACTGTTTATAAAAGGCTTAGACCAACAATGGGAAAGGGCTTCCAGGCAGTCATATAGTCGAGACCAGCTGCCAGGGGTGTTTCAGCCAGAGGAGAGTCAGTTACCAGGCAAGGTGACCTCTGGTGGAAGATAAGTTATTTTATTGAATCATTTTCTGGTTTCAGCCTGTGAAAGATGCAGACCCTCATTTCCATCATTTTCTGCTCAGCCAAACTGAGAAGGTGAGTCGGTCTTCTACATTTGTGATCCTTGGTCAGGGGCTGGCCTAAAGGGAGAAGGTGGCTCCATGGAACCTCACCCTACTAGTCTGGAAGGTTAGGCTCTGCTTCTACCACTGCCCAGAGCAACTAGATAGAAAGTCACATGGAGGCCCACTCGTGAATCAGGTGTTGTTACAGTTAAAAGTAACCCCCCCCCTTCAAAAAAAGCATTTAAGGCTCAGCAGCTGTGTGGTTGAGACATTTGTGAGTCTGGGGCAGAAGCCAGACCTTGTGAGCTATCCACACTCATGAGGTAGCTCTTGCTGTTTGGTGGATGCATTCTTAGGCTTGCTGTGCAAGCAGTCTCTAAACCATCGGGTTGTGGAGGGCAAGCTTCCCAGAGTATCTGCAAGGCCATGAGTTAGGCTGAACCTTGATATAGGACCTGATAGGCTGTGGCTTTGGAGTTGGACAGATCTGGGTTGCAAGCCCAGTTACACTGAGTAGCCTTGTAACTCTCGAGTGTATGACTTCATGAATCTGATCCTTAATGTCATCATCGGCAAAAGAATCTTGCAGAGTTGCATAGATATTTAAGTGAAGTAGTCTATGTTACCTTTCTGATGTGTCCTTTGGAGTTCAGTAAAGTCGAACAGCAAATAGGTTTCAGTGTTAACACCACACTTTAGGCCTAACCTCTTAGGGAAATTATAACGAAGACCAGTTAAGCGTTCAGTTTAATACATGGTCTTTTTTCCTCCTTTATTAGCCAGCTGTCTGTTACCAGGCAATCACAAAGAAGTTGAAAATATGTGAAGAGGTACGTAGGTTCCGTGCCTCCCTATTTTTCTCTTCCACTGGGGCCCTTGTCATGGGCAGACTGACCTGATGAGCTGTGCTTCCTTTCCCTAGGAAACTGGGTCCACCTCCATCCAGGCAGCAGACAGCACGGCCGTGAATGGCAGCATCACACCCACAGACAAAAAGTAGGACCTTTGATGAAAAGGCTTCGTGTGGCTCTAGTTCTGTTAGGGAATAGGGGATGATCCCAAGGGGCTCTTTAAGGGTTGTATCCCAGCCATTGGTGGGACTGAATGGAAAGAGAGAGGGAAAGTTATAATTTTTAGGGAGTTGCCTGGAAGTAATTTGACCTGCAGGAGACCAAGGTCCTATAAGTACATGGTGGGGTTGCCTTCATAGCTCACTGGTGAGTCTTCGAGCTGGAGGAACACTCAGTTTGGTGGTTCTCAGACTTTCCCCTGCCTCAGAATCACCTGGAAGGCCACATGTAAAGCATCAACTGCTAGGCCCCACCCCCCAGGGTTTCTCAGTCAGTAGATCTGGAGTGGATCCGGAGAGTTTATAATCTTGGACACCTTTCTGGGTGTGCCGCTGCTGCCAGTCAAGACACCACACTTTGAGAATCACTGGCTTGGTAGAACAGTGATGAAAACCCTGAGACTGGCTGTGGTGGGGGCGGGGGGCGGGTGAGAGGTGAATCACCATCGTCCCGCCTTCCCCAGCCCTCCCTGCTGTTGCCGCCCGGTCCTTCCCATACACCTGTCTTGACTGTGGTCCCCAAAGCTTAGTTTGCGCCCGCACACCCCTGCCTTTCCTCTGGTGGTATTTGCAGTCATGTGTCTATAAGTGCAAAGACAGAGCACTGTCCTGAGCCCAGTGGCCGGGTCTGAATTCTCCGTGCATATCTCCTGTACAGTTCTTTCTCAGAGTAAAAACAGTACGTCTTTTACTTTATTCATAATTTTTTATGCTGATGCAATCCCTGAAGATTCCACCGGTTATTTTGGGTGAACAGCCCTGGGGAGAGTAGAAAAGGCAGAGGCATGTTCTATGCTAATGAAAGGGAAGATGGGCGTCACCCATTGATTTAAGGAGGATTGTGTTGATTTTTTTAAAAAAATGACAAGGATGAGGCTGAGACCAGAGTCCAGTGCTTTCACCTAAGACCTTTGTTGCCCCATTAGTCAAACCGTTTTTTGACATGAATGTTAAGCCAACTACAAAGTGAAGCAGCTGTATGGTGCACTAGGTGTCCTGGAACGCCAGGAAAAGAGAATTCGTCTATTGTGATGTAGAGTCGCCGGGCAAGCTTAAACTACCCAGACAGCTGTGAATGACAAAAGATCTCCTGGGATTTGAGCTTTGGCTGGAAACTTAATGGGGGAGGTTGCCATTTGGTGAGGAACGCGGTGGGTTCTGTTCTTATCATTGGATTCAGGCTGGGACAGAGAGCCTGTGAGAGTTCGTATTCCACCAGGGATGAGGGGAGACAGTTTCAGTACAAGAGCCAGTTTGCAGGGGTGGCTGTGAATGTCACCCCAAGAGACTGAGAATACTAAAAGGGTAACTCAGGTGAAGGTGGACAGGCTGCAGAGAGGGTCTGGAGCTGAGAGAAACCCAAGCCAAAACCAGAACACCATGTAGTAAGAAATGATGGAAGAGGCATTGGTTAGCTGTATCACATGCAAGGAGTGAAGTGCAGGAACCTTTGGGCAAGATAAAATCCTCTGTAAAAGCACATAGAAATAGCAGTAGTAGCCAATAGCCCCTAAGTTCTGAGCATTGCAGGAAGAAGCAGGCCACAGGAAGTGAAGGTAAGCAGAACATGTTGTCCACCTGAACTCTAGTCCCCCAAGATGAGCATGGGCCTGCAGTTAGAAGGGCAGGGTGGGGAAGCGCGGACAGGCCAGCGGAGAGCAGTGCCAGAGAGGTTCAGGAGAAGGCAGGCATAGGAAGAATTCATGTTCTGGAGAATTCCCCTGGCTCCAGGCTTTGAAAAGGGTCAGGGCCCGTCTCTGCTGACAGCAGGAAGAACACAAAGGTAGTGTCGGGTGTCGAGCTGGGGAGGGAGATGAAGACTATGATCCTGAGTCCTACAGTTGAAGAAGTTGGCTGGCTCTGAACACATTGCTTCAGTTACTTGTCACGGATTCTGATGTGCTTTAAAGTGGCATCTGAAAGCCTGGTATTCGGGGTGGCCGACCAGGAAATGGCTGCAAGAGTCAAAGACACGTGCCTGCTTTCTCGCTGTACCGGAATTGGAGGCTCAGACGCTCTATCAAAGCAGTAAGGGAACAAGTTGGAAGACTTGCCCTAAACCAGTGAGGCACACTTCTTTCTGTGGCAGGCAAGGGTTTAGAAAAGCCCACTTAAATTGAGGGACACTTCAAAACGATGGCATGATGAGAAAAGGCATGATGTGCACATGCTGCTGCTGGCTCTGCAGCAGTGCTGTCAGCCGCTGAGTGGACTTGCTGGTGGATGAGGCCCCCCCCCCCCACCAACCCATCGGTATCTCTTTTTCAGGATAGGATTTTTGGGCCTTGGCCTCATGGGAAGTGGCATCGTCTCCAACTTGCTAAAAATGGGTCACACAGTGACTGTCTGGAACCGGACTGCAGAAAAAGTAAGCATTCATGGGGGTGCTTGTCGGGTGGGGTGGGACGGCACCTTGACCGTTGGAGTTGGAGTGGCTTAAGGATAGGAATCTTCCTGTTACCTCCGCCCAGCGTTCTGCGTGCGTAGAGTAGGAGAAGCCAAGCTTTTAGTTCAGGCAGGTGAAGCTGTAGGTGTATGAGCTTAGGATGTTTGGTTTTGTGTTTTCTTTTTTTAATTATTTAAATTCTTGTTAACGTACGGGGTAAAAATTGGTTTCAGGTGTAGAATTTAGTGATTCATCACTTATATATAACATCCAGTGTTATATAACATATATCATCACAAGTGTCCTCCTTAATACCCATCACCCATTTAGTCCATCCCCTGCCCACCTCCTTCCATCAACTCTTAGTTTGTTCTCTACAGTTAAGAATCTCTAAGCTTTAGATGTTATTATAAAAAGTAAACATTTAGGGGCGCCTTGGGCGTCTGCCTTCGGCTCAGGTCACGATCCCAGAGTTCTGGGATCGAGCCCCACATGGGGCTTCCTGCTCCACAGGGAGCCTGCTTCTCCCTCTCCCACTCCCCCTGCTCGTATTCCCTCTCTCGCTGTGTCTCTCTCTGTCAAATAAATAAATAAAATCTTAAAAAAAATAAAAATAAAAAGCTCACTAGGATGCGCAGGGCAACTGGAACTCTTAAATAAGTAAGGGGTGCCTGGGTGGCTCAGTCGTTGGGCGTCTGCCTTCGGCTCAGGTCATGATCCCGGGGTCCTGGGATCGAGCCCCGCATCGGGCTCCCTGCTCGGCGGGAGGCCTGCTTTTCCCTCTCCCACTCCCCCTGCTTGTGTTCCTGCTCTCGCTATCTCTCTCTGTCAAGTAAACAAAATCTTTTAAAAAAAACAAATATAAATAAGTAAAACGTAAACATTTAAAAACATTTGGGTATAAAATGAAGTGAAAATTCTCCCTTCTCTGCCATTACCTGAGGTAGCTCACATCAGGTGTTTGTATCCTCTTTTTTATGCACATGCAAATATATACGTGTGTATATTAGTAATTCATTGATACTGAGTACATAGAGATAGATCTGCTTCTTCCTTTTTAATGGCTGCACTGTGTTCTGACATTGGGATTGTATTAACAGCACTGTACAGTAGAGCATTCTACAGTGCTGGAGATGTCCAGTGTCTGCCCTGTCCAGTGTGGTAGCCACTAGCCACATGTGGCTCTTCCAACACTTGAATCATGGCTAGTATGATGGAAGAATTGAATTTTTAATTTTATTTCACTTAAATGTAAATAGTCCCCCATGGCTAGTGCCCACCAAAGTGGACAGGACAGGTTTAGAAGTTCTTAACCTAAGGTGGTGGTCCACCACTTCAAGGGTCTGTGCATGCCCTGAAATGGAATTCCAAGTCCAAATGTGCACCTTTTGTAAGGGAGAGAGGCCACAGCTCCTCCCATCGAGTTCCTATCCAAGAAAAGGTGAAGAATGGTAGTCTGAGTACCAAGAAACTAAAGACCTGTACTCACCAGGAGCACATGAAGAGATTGAGGAAGGACCAGCCTGTTGGGGAGCAGGTGTGGCTGAGCATGTGTTTACAAAGTGATTGAGTGAGCACCCGGTGTGCAGCTGGGTGCAGCTGAAAGGAGGATGGTTGCTGAAGGAGGTGGTAGGGCTAATGGGTTTGAATTAACAAATGTCTTGGCAAGGTAAAAAAAAAAAAATTTCACTATTGAAACAAAGGCCTTTTCGAGAATAACAAGGAACTGGTTGGAGAGTCGGAGAGTCAAGAGGGTTGGGGGGAAAGGGCACTGAAAACTGTGCTAAAAAGTTTGGGCTTCAGCTGCTGGGCATCAGGTACCTAAGGCAGGAGTGAGACCTCTCGTCCCATCAGCAGGATAGGTTGTGATTGAAGGTACGGGTAACCAGGAAATGTAGACACAGACAGTTGCAGAAGCTGGGAGAGTCAGAGGGTTTCCCTTATAAGTATGTTCCCCTTTGATAGAAGTGCCTCTGGTCAGCCTGTATCTTGATTGGAAAACCTAAAAGTTACATAAACATGGCCACTCTTTCCAAATTAATTTATGGGAAAGCAGGAGAGCAAAGCATTTACGAATCTGTTTGAAATCAGACCTAAATCCAAGTCACAGTTGTCTTGCTCACTCTCTCCAGCAAGATTGTTTACCTTTCTAAGCCTCATAGTTCTCATCTGTAAAATGATGACAGCAAAAGCAAAAGATTAGGAGCGCCTGGGCAGCGCATTCAGTTAAGGGTCTGACTCTTGGTTTCAGCTCAGGTCTGATCGAGCTCCATGCTCAGCGTGGAGTCTGCATTTCAGCTCAGGTCATGATCTCAGGGTCATGAGATCGAGCCCCACATCAGGCTCTGTGCTGGGAATGAAGATTGCTTAAAATTCTCCCTCTCCCTCTGCAGAATCTCCTCCCCCACGCACATTCACTCTTGCACTCTCTCTCTCAAGGGGGAAAAACCATGTAATTCTTTTACAATCCCTGTGTAATTCTTTTTAAAGGATCTTGATAAAAAATTATTCCCCGGTGTAGTAAATGGGAAACATACTTTAACTTTTTCAGAAAAGAAAGAGTAATGAGATCTCTCCCAAGCAAAGTTTAAAACATAAAGCTATGGGGCGCCTGGGTGGCTCAGTCGTTAAGTGTCTGCGTTTGGCTCGGGTCGTGATCCTAGGGTCCTGGGATCGAGCCCCATGTCGGGCTCCCTGCTCCACGGGAAGCCTGCTTCTCCCTCTCCTGCTCCCCCGCTTGTGTTCCCTCTCTCGCTGTATCTCTCTCTGTCAAATAAATAAAATCTTAAAAAAAAAAAAATAAAACATAAAGCTGTATACTAAAAGGCTAAGGTGTGTGTGTACCGTGATAAAGACACACACCCATCAGCTAAACTGGACAGCTAGGACTTCGTCTGATAGAGGTGCCTCGCTGCAAATCAGTGATAGGAGAAAGGTCAGTCAGTAAGTTATATTCAGAACAACTGGATAGAAATTTGAGGAAGTACTAATCTCACTTTGTAACACCTACTAAAATGAATTCCATGTAGATTTAAAGGGACACCAACTGAAAGTGCTTATAGCAAATATAGGGAAAGGGTAACATACTGATTTTATTAAACATTGTTTCATAAATCCAAAATAAAAAATTGCTCACAAAAGAAACACAAAGGTATTAAATTTAGAAGGTTCAGTAATCGAGAGTAATCAAAATATATCAAACAAACAGTTGCTGTTTTGGGCTGGTTAAATCATCCGTAGGACAAAATTTTTATGTATTGATGCTTGTTTGTTGTTTTTAAAGATTTATTTATTTATTTGACATAGAGAACAAGTAGGCAGAGAGGCAGGCGGGGAGAGGGAGAGGCAGGCTCCCCACTGAGCAGGGAGCCCGATGCGGGACTCGATCCCAGGACCCTGGGATCATGACCTGAGCCGAAGGCAGCCGCTTAACCGGCTGAGCCACCCAGGCACCCTGTTTGTTGTTTTTAAATGATGTACTCAGTGCTGGTGATTTGAGATCTTGCTGATGATCATTATAGATTAACAGCTCCATTGGAAAGCCATTTGTCTACGTTTATTAAGAACTTTAAAGCTATTTGGAGCCTGTTCTACCTTCAGAGACCTAAACTGAAAACATAAAGGTATACATGAAGGTATTTGTTGGAGTCATTTATAATTAAAAGCAGGCTAGATATCTAACTGCAGGAGAGCCATTAGATAAATTCAGGTGTATCTCAATGGAATATTCTGCAGCCATCCATTATAAATGATAATTATGAAAGGCTACAGTATGGATAAATGTAAATGACGCACAGTATTAAAAGTTGGATACTGGGACGCCTGGGTGGCCCAGTCAGTTAAGCATCTGCCTTCAGCTCAGGTCATGATCCCAGAGTCCCGGGATCGAGTCCCACATCAGGCTCCCTGCTCAGCAGGGAGTCTGCTTCTCCGTCTGCTCTTCACCCGAGTTGTGCTCTCTCTCGTGTGCACTCTCTCTCTCTCTCAAATAAATGGATAAAATTTTTTTTAAAAAAGTTGGATACAGGGGCGCCTGGGTGGCTCAGTCGGTTAAGCGTCTGCCTTTGGCTCAGGTCATGTTTCCATGATCCTGGGATCGAGCACCACATCGGGCTCCCTGCTCAGCAGGGAGTCTGCTTCTCCCTCTCCCTCTGCTGTTCCCCCTGCCTGTGCTGTCCTGCTCTCGCTCTGTCAAATAAATAAAATCTTAAAAAAAAAAAAAAATACAAAATAGTAGCTTCACATTATTCTAATTACTTTTTTTAAATGCTTTGGAGAAGGAAATACACTGAAATATTAATGATGTTTTGTTATGAGATGTTCTGGGTAATTTCAGTTCTCAAGGAAGAAAAGTTCATGCTTTTAGAAACCCCCAGAAACATCTTGGTAAGGAATGGCAGCCTCGGGCGCCTGGGTGGCTCAGTTGGTTAAGCAACTGCCTTCGGCTCAGGTCATGATCCCAGAGTCCCGGGATCGAGTCCCACATCAGGCTCCCTGCTCAGCAGGGAGTCGCTTCTCCGTCTGCTCTTCACCCCAGTTGTGCGCTCTCTCGTGTGCGCTCTCTTTCTCAAATAAATGGATAAAATTAAAAAAAAAAAGTTGGATACAGGGGCACCTGGGTGGCTCAGTTGGTTAAGTGACTGCCTTCGGCTCAGGTCATGATCCTGGAGTCCTGGGATCGAGTCCCGCATCAGGCTCCCTGCTCAGTGGGGAGTCTGCTTCTCCCTCTGACCCTCCCCCCTCTCATGCTCACGCTCTCTCTCATTCTCTCTCTCAAATAAATAAAATCCTTAAAAAAAAAAAAAAAAAAGGAATGGCAGCCTCCCAGCCCTGGTTCCCCAGCACAGTGTGGATAGCCTGGGACACTGGGCAGGTTTTGCCACAGCCCAGACAGCTACAGAGGGCTGCAAACAGGTACTGTTTACATCCTGTTCTTCAAACAGGAATCCTTCAGCAGACACTTGTTCTGTGCTTACTGTGAAGTAGAACATCGTTCTAGGCACCAGGTATGCAAAAACACAAGATGGTCCTTAAGGAGCCCCATCCACTTACCTCAGAAAGACCACCAGGGGCACCTGGGTGGCTCAGTCGTTAAGCATCTGCCTTCCGCTCAGGTCATGATCCCAGGGTCCTGGGATCAAGCCCTACATCGGGCTCCCTGCTCGGCAGGGAGTCTGCTTCTCCCTCTGCCTCTCCCCCTGTTTGTGTTCCCTCTCTCACTCTCTGTCAAATAAATAAATAAAATCTTAAAAAAAAAAAAAAAAGACCACCAGCTCTGGTATCCCTGGCTCCTATCCTCAGCCTCCTACCTTGGGAAACCAGCCAGGAGGACTGCACAGTGTGTCTCTGGCCTGGCTGTTGTGTTTGTTGTGCACTGCGTGCAGCTCACAGTAGGATCTGTGACTTTTGCAGTGTGATTTGTTCATCCAGGAGGGGGCCCGCCTAGGAAGAACCCCCGCTGAAGTCGTTTCGACTTGTGACATCACCTTTGCCTGCGTGTCAGATCCAAAGGCAGCCAAGGACGTAAGGATCCCCTCCCTCCCCTCAGTGTCTCAGGTTGTGGCCAGGAAAACTGGCTGGCCTCCCTGCCTTCTCCCCTGCCCATGAGTGAGGGTCTGTAGCATGTGGGAGGGTTGTATTTCCCATTTGGGGCCATCCCCCATTGTGAAAGTAATCTGCATAAATTAAATACAGCCGTCCTTTAATTCAGAACAGAGAAAATAACTGGGGTCCCTGAGATCTATGCTGACCATCCCATGTATTCTTATTTGGTTCATGTGGTGAGGTCCTACGTTTAGCTCTGGCTGTATTTGTATGTTTTATAAGTTCAAGTACAATAGTCATCTTGTTAAATTGGTAACTAGTTCAATCCAAGTGAATCCAAAGAAGCCCAAGAAAATACTGAGGTTATCATTTAAATGGGAGGTTTTTAGTAAAAAGGAACATGCATGTATTCTTTTTGAAGATAAATGGGAATAAAGTAGAGGTGTTTTTCTCTCTTATGCTTGTTTACTTGCTGCCCCCTTTCAGCCTTAATATTTAGCTCCTAATCAGGAAATGAGCCAAAAAAGTAACAGGATTCTGACCTTAGGTCTAAGGGGCTCCTGGGCGTCTGGCTGGGAGCCTGGGCTATTGCTTCTCCCTTGTGTCCCCACAGCTGGTGCTGGGCCCCAGTGGTGTGCTGCAGGGGATCCGCCCCGGGAAGTGCTACGTGGACATGTCAACAGTGGATGCTGACACAGTCACCGAGCTGGCCCAGGTAGCGGCCTCGTTCATGCTGGCCCTCCAGCGTCCTTGGCAGTTGGAGCCCAAGACTCAGGCTGATTGATTATGCCTGAGTGTAGGCAACTTGGTTACTCTAGAAACCAAGCCAGGAGAGGATGAGAGGCCGGTAGCCTTGGGACTAGCCTGTCTTCACTTTCTACTTTCAAAGCCACAGCTAATCTGAACAGCCGTGAGAGGAGAGGTGCTGCCCGGCTGGGATGGGCATTAGGTCCTGTAGCTGCCTGCCCCACAATGAGAAGCAATCGAGGCTGCCAGCAGGGCCTTTTTGGTTTAAGCAGCCATCTACAGTTGTTACTAACAGTATTCTTCCTCCCTAAGCTGCTGGGCCAAGTGAGGGGGTGGTGACTTCTAGCCCTTGTGTGTTCTGAGAGTGGCTGAAGAGGGAAGGACAGTGTCTGGAGGAGGTGTGGTCAGTCAAGCCATTGGCATGGTCATGCTTGGTGATTGCAAGAAATTCTAAGTCCATGGGAGTCTGTGGGGAGACCACCCCCCCACCCCCCACCCCTGCTTCTCTGTTTACTGCATGTAATTCAGGCATCTGTTTGGGGCCTCGGTGTGGAAGGCCAGGTGTTTCCACTTGAAACCCCTGTGAGAGGCAAGGCCTTCAGAAGCTATGACTTTCCTTTCCAGGTGATTGTGTCCAGGGGGGGCCGCTTTCTGGAAGCCCCAGTCTCAGGGAATCAGCAGCTGTCTAATGATGGGATGTTGGTGATCTTAGCAGCCGGAGACAGGGGCTTGTATGAGGACTGCAGCAGCTGCTTCCAGGCAATGGGGAAGACCTCCTTCTTTCTAGGTAACACGCCTGCCCACCCATCGGGCCACTGCAGGCCCGGAGGCTGGGTGGGCCACATCCCCTCTAGACTGCACTGATGACAGCGTCAATCCCGCACGGCCTCTCTGCCTGGGGCCCCCGTGGGAAGGTTTCCTTTGACTTGCACAGTCAGTGCCTGGAAGGAGGAAGAGCCCGAAGGGTCAGAGCCAGTTCTGTCAGGGGCAGGTGAATGGGGCCTCCCCTGGGTGTAGAGGTGGGTCCGAGCAGGGATGAGGGTGGGCAGAAAGTCCCTGCTGTCGGAATTCTTGGGAAGTGACCGTGATTCTCTGCCCTGGCCAGGTGAGGTTGGCAACGCAGCCAAGATGATGCTGATCGTGAACATGGTACAGGGAAGCTTCATGGCCACCATCGCTGAGGGGTTAACCCTGGCCCAAGTGACAGGCCAGTCCCAGCAGACACTCTTGGACATCCTCAATCAGGGACAGTTAGCCAGCATCTTCCTGGACCAGAAGTGCCAAAGTGAGTTGCCTTCATCCTCTCCGTGCATTTTAGTTGTGATTGGAGCTGAGAAACTGGGTCAGGCCTCTGTCACAGAGCGTTCTCTTCTTCAAGGGCTCACTGGTATGAAAGAGGCACCCTCTCTAATCAGTCTATGCCCTCTGCCAGAGGGGGTCCAGAGACATGGCAGATGGGATTTGGGGGTACTGGCTGGGAACTGGTCTCTTCAGTGTCCAAGAGGGAGGAAATGCGAGATGTTGAGCCCTGACGGTACAGCAGATAGTTTCTTAGTTAAGAGTCCCACATCGGGCTCCCTGCTCAGCAGGGAGTCTGCTTCTCCCTCTGACCCTCTTCCCTCTCGTGCTGTCTCTCATTCTCTCTCTCAAATAAATAAATAAAATCTTAAAAAAAAAAAAAAAGAGTCCCTTTAATTCTTCTGATCTGTGCTTTCCCTCCGCAGATATCCTGCAAGGGAACTTTAAGCCTGATTTCTACCTGAAGTACATTCAGAAGGATCTCCGCTTAGCCATTGCCCTGGGGGATGCCGTCAACCATCCTACTCCAATGGCAGCTGCAGCCAATGAGGTAACTGCAAGGGGGGTGCTGTGCAATCTGGCAGCCTTCCTTGGTTTTTAGTCATCCTTCCCTCTCTTTGTTTTGTGTCCCTTTGTGTCTCACCTCTTGAGGTGGAAGCTCAGGTCATTGATTCTAGACAGGAGCATTTAAAAGCATACATTTCCTTCTGAGCCATGTTTATTTCCCTTGTGATTTCTTTGACCTGTGGATGACTTAAAAGTGTGTCAGATGATTGGAGTCGTCCTATGAATATAATGGCTATTGATTACTGATGTATGTCTCTTGTGGTTAAAAAACACATCCTGTGTGATTTTTAACTCTTTAAATTCATTCAGACTTGTTTTGTGGCCCAGCAGATGGTCTGTCTTGGTGGGTGTACCACGTGCACTTACGAAGACTCTGTTCTGCAGTTGTTGGGTGCTGTGTTCGAGGTTGGTAGTGTTTTTTCAGGTCATCTTTACTGGCCTTTTTCTCTGGTTCTTTAGTTGCTGAGATACTAAAATCTCCAACTATGATTGTAGCATTGTCTGTTTTTCCCTTTAATTCTGTTATCTTCGAAACTCTTGTGGTTGGGTCCTTAGCCATTTGTGATGGTCATATCTTCCTGATGAACTTGCCCTTTAATTATTATGAAATGTCTAGAAGCCCATAGCCTGGTTTCACTGTAGCTGCTACTGTGTTCACGGTATATCTTTTTCCATTCGTTTATTTTCAACTTGTGTCTTTTTATTTAAATTGTATCCTTTGTATACAGCCTGTCCTTGGGGCTTGCATTTTTATCCCTTCTGAGGCATCTGCCTATTAAGTGGAGTGTTTGGTCATTAACATTTGTTTGAGTGACAACAAAGCACCTACATATGCACTTTTTTAAAACAGTTGGGTTTGGGGGAAGTGTTGTTTATTTGTTTTAATAAGTTTATTTTAAGTAATCTTATACCTGATGTGAGGCTCAAACTCCGGACCGTAAGATCAAGAGTTGGGTGCTCTACCAACTGAGCCAGCCAGCGGCCGTTCTTTAGAAAGCTGTCAGCTTTCTCAGCCCAACAGAAGGGTAGCCTTAAAAAAGCTGAGCAATACTTCATTACTGTAGAGTTATAATCAAAACCGTATTTTGGGGCGCCTGGGTGGCTCAGTTGGTTGGGCGACTGCCTTCGGCTCAGGTCATGATCCCGGAGTCCCGGGATCGAGTCCCGCATCGGGCTCCCTGCTCGGCGGGGAGTCTGCTTCTCCCTCTGACCCTACCCCCTCTTGTGCTCTCTCTCTCTCACTCTCTCTCAAATAAATAAAAAATTTCAAAAAAAAAAAGTATTTTGTGTAAAACACATATACGAAACACATAAATTTATTTATTTTAGAGGCTGTATCTTCTAGATACTATAAGAGGACACAGATTTTCATTCAAGTTAAACAAGTCTCAAGTGGATTGTTCCAGCATAGAAGTAAAGAAACACAGTTCTGCTCTTTTCAGATGTGGCTTTTCGTAATATGTAATCAGTCTCCTGTCCCTTCCTTGTCTGCCTGGACATTTCAGAGAACTTACTTCACCTTTTCAGGTTGCAGTACAGTTTTCACGTTCCCCCTGTTTGTTTTGCCTTGGATTCTCTCTTAGCAGTGGACTTCTGTGTATTTTATATAATTTTTTTGTTGATTGTCTTTAATTGAAGTTACTTCTGAAGGGTCTGTGTGTGGCTTGTGTTGGCAGCTTTCTCTGTGAAGTGATTTCTGACTTGCCTCTGCCCTTACTCTGCAAGATTCATTGGCTTGAAAACAGGTATTTTGGTTAATTTCAATGGAGCATGGTACTTTCTGGAGGGTGTGAATTTAGGCTCCTCACTGAAGCTCAGTGTTCAGGATCTTAAGATTAACTAGTCCATTAACATTTAGTCTTTATCTTAAAGTCTATTGATGTGTGCTTGGATTTGGAGGTGCCGTTTTATCATTTGATTGCTATTTGTCCCTTCTGGCTTTTGTCTGTTTCTCCTTTTTTACTGCCTTTTGGATTATTTGAATATTTTTTAGAATTCCATTTTCTTCATTGGCTTTTTAACAATGCATTGTTTCTCTTTTATCTTTGCTCTAGGGATTGCAGTATGGAAGGATATGCAATATCCTTAACTTCATGGCCTACTTAGGGTTAATGTTGTACCTCTTCACATAAAACATAGATCCATTTCCTGCTCCCGCCCTCCTTCCTCCTTTAAGGCAAGGATTCTGAACCTGGGCACCATTGCCATTTTGTTGTGGGAGCCGTCCTGTGCATTGCAGGATATTTAGCATTATTAGCAGTGTCCTATACCCACTAGAAGCCAGCAGTGTCCCCTCAGTTGAGAAGAGGTCTGTAGACATTACCACGTGTCCTGTGGGGCAAAATATCCCCAGCTTGAGAAGCCCTGCTTTGTTTTTTTTTTTTTTTTAAGATTTGATTTATTTTGAGAGAGCGTGTACATACATGTGCATGAGTTGGGGGCGGAGTGGGCAGAGGGAAGGGGACAAGCAGACTCCACACTGAGTGTGGGGTCTGATGTGGGGCTTGATCCCACGTCCCTGATATCATGACCTGAGCTGAAATCAAGAGTCGGATGCTCTGAGCCACTAACCACCCAGGTGCCCCAAGAGAACCCCTGCTTTGGGGTATAGATTTCCTGTGTGTTAACATCTGCCTTTGTTCTAAACTTACCAGAGGATGTTGGAATGTTTTACGTGGTCGTATGTATTTTTTTTAAGTAAGAGAAAAAATACTTCTCTGTTTGTCTAATTTACCATTTCCAGTGTTCTCCATTTTCTGAAGATTTGAATTTCTCTCTGGTATTGTTTCCTTTCAACTGGAAGAACTTGCTTTAGCATTCCCTGTAATGCAGGTCTGCTGGCAACGATTCGTTTTCTTTTCTCTGAAAAGGTCTTTATTTAGCCTTAATTTTTAGTTGACAGCTACACCTGAGCTATAATGGACATTCAATTGTCATGGCTTCAACTGGACTATGTTTTAAAAAAGACGAAGATGCAGCTGACTCTGTGGGAGGAACCTGGTGTCCAACTGCATTTCCTCAGTGTGCCTGGACGCCACACTGCCCTGCTCGAATGGCTTTTTAATTCTCTTCACACTCGTTCGTAGTATTCACCTAGTGGCTCTGGAGTGGCCGTCAGCTGCCAAGCACTGTTCTAGGCTCTGGGGACATGTTGAGGGGCCGCCCGTTCCCTTCCTTGTGGAGCTTATGTTTCAATGGAAGGAGGCACAATATAAGCAGATAGTTATTTAAACAATCTCTGAAGGTCAGAAGTATGAATAAAATAGAACAGAGTAAGAAAAGGTGACCAGGATCAAGTGGTACAGCCACTGCTTTCCATAGGCTGGTCAGGGAAGGCCTTGGAGCAGACTGGGAGGGAGCCAGCCATGCCTAGGGAAAGGCTTCCCATGCAGAGGGAAGGGCAAGGATAGTGGCCCAGAGAGTAACATGGGAAGACCCTAGAGGCAGAGACATGATTATAATTACTAACTCTGAGCACTTGACCTCCCTCGCTCCATTTAGTCCTCACGATAACGTTGTTATCTTCTCCATGACATGAAGGACTAGTGATGAAGACAGAAACTGAGGCACTTGGCTCAAGATCAGTGGAGGGTGGCCAGGAGTTGCACCTAGACAGCCTGGACTCCAGAGCCTGCCTGCCTGACCGCATCTAGAACTACCTCCACAAAGCAGATTGTGTCTTTAAGTCAGCTCTGTGGTCAGACACTGAGCCCATCTCCTTTTTTTCCAGGTGTACAAGAGAGCCAAGGCACTGGACCAGTCTGACAACGACATGTCTGCCGTGTACCGAGCCTATATACACTAAGCCCTTGATACCCCACCCCTGCCCCCCCAATCTTCCCTCTGACCCCTCCTCCTCACATGGGGTTGGGGTCCTGGGACTTAACTCTGGACCAGTCCACCTGTCTCCATCTCCTTTTATACAGACTTTGAGACTTGCCATCAGCACAGCACACAGCGTCACTCCTCCCCTGGAGGTCCTGGGGAGGGGAGGGGTGTCAGCAGGATTGGCCTTTGGGAAAGCTCTTGAGCTGGGCACTGGCCCTGGACTAGGTGGCTGTGTGTTCACACACACACACACACACACACACACACACATACACAAACACACACACAACCCCTATACACCACACACTGGCTCTTACCCCAGGATAGAAGCTGCCCAGAAACTGCTGCCTGGCTTCCCCCACCCCACCCCTTCTGAGCTTGTCTTATCTCAGACCCTTTCCAGTCAAGGAACTAGAATCAGCAGTAAGAACTGGAAGCCTTTCCACTTCCTTCCTTCAGAGCGAAGAGGCTATGGTTATGTTCACATCCCCCCTGGATCCTGCACATGAAACAGAGGCTCTGGGTCAAGATGAGCCAGCACTGACTCCAAACAGAGGGTCCTCATGGGCCCTCCAACCTCAGGTGACCAGCTGATGAGGATTGTCATGTTTAACCTACCAATGTGCAACCAACTTTCCATAAATGCCTTTGTGAACTGAAAAGAAATTGGCCAAGTTGAGCAGACACAGGGCTCTGGCTCTCTGGGGAGAGCAGCAAATCGCCAGCACATTAGGTGAGCCCCACAGAAGCCTACTCTCGTCACTGCTCTTGAGCACCTGTCCCAGAAGTTACCGTCACTGCAGAGCCCTGGGCTGGGATCAGACTTCCTTGCTTGGTGTAGGGAGAGCTCACTCTTCACCAGGCTCTTTTAGTATTTGGATGGCATTCCAGCCCTTGGGACGGGGTATCCTGAGGGCCACCAGGGAGGAGTGAAGAGGGAGGAGAGTGGGGTTCCTTCCTGTTTTCCGTTATGCTGCAGACTCCCACCTCGTTCTGGAAGAGTCACTCTGACTGGGTCCCCTCACAGCAGTCCCACACTCCAGCCTGCTCCTGCACATGTCCCCCACCTGCCCATCTCTTCATTCTCCCTTCCTCCTTTTCTTCCCATGGAGACAGTGTTTCTGTCTGTCCCTTCTTTGGCCCATACCCAGCCTGACCAACGATGGCCATTTCTTAGGCTCAGCTCTTGAAACAGGAACGAGTGTCTTCACTTCAGCCAGAAGCATGGTCTTCGATGCTTCCAGGGCCCCAGGGTGTCTCAGGAGGGAAGAGAACTGGGCCTGACCCAGCCTGAACTATCTGACCCTAAGAGGTGGATCTAAGACATCCTCGAGACCCTAACATTTCTCCTTGGACAGGGGACCAGAGAGGCTTGGAATGTGGCATAAAAACAAGGAGAAGTCACCTAAAGGATGTCAATGTTCTCTCCCTCTGCATGGGTTGCATTTTCTAAAGTCACACTTTGCAGGTCAGCGTTTTTAGTGAATATATAGAATGAGACCACATTGGTGTGGGCTCCTCCCCCCTCAACCTTGGCCCATTTGCGCTGATCAGAACCCAGGCTAGGGGATCTCAGAAGACATAGGGGGAGGGCAGGAAGATGCCTGCGTGTTTTTGGCATAACTTCACTGGGATTTGGAATTTTCTGTCTGAACACAAAGCCTGTTCTAGTCCTAGCCGGACATTTGGGGGTGGGGGGGTGGGGAAGATACTGTAATGAAACTGGTTAGTCAATGTTGTCTTAATATTGTTGACAATTCTGTAAAGTTTCTTTTTATGAGTATTTCTGTTTAAGCTATTTCACCTTTGTTTTGAAATCCTTCCCTTTTAGGAGAAAATGTGACACTTGTGAAAAAGCTTGTAAGAAAGCCCCTCTTCCGCGACCCCTTTTTTTTCCTTTAAACCTACTTTAAATGACAAATCTAGGTAATTAAGGTTGTGAATTTTTATTTTTGCTTTGTTTTTAAAGAACATTTGTCTTTCAGAATAGGATTGTGTGATAATGTTTAAATGGCAAAAACAAAACATGATTTTGTGCAATTAACAAAAAGCTACTGCAAGCAAAATAAAACGTTTCTTGGTAACACAATTGTGACTGATTACCTCGGCAGTGGTTACTGCCTGCGCCCAGAGGGAGGAGGGCCGGGAGCGCCGGGAACTGTCGGCTCAGTGGGCTCCTTCCTCCCGGCCCAACGGAACCGGAGAGCTTAGCGCGCAGAGGGCGAGGCCGAGCAGGAACAAGCTGCTCCGCCAGCCAATCGCCGGGCGCAGCGAGAACAAGCCATCCCGATGGCCAATCAATGAGCGCAAGCGGAGCAGGGCGCCGTATCAGAGCCGGGGAGGGGCGGTACAAGCGGCCGCCGCGCTCCACCCCGAGAGTGGCGGTGGATGCGGCGCCCGAGCGCCCAGCGCCCCCGGTAGGTGCTGCCGGCGGCGTGGGAGAGCCGGCGCAAGCGGGTTCGCGCAGCCGCCAGCCTCGATTTGGAGCGCCCGCTCGGCCGGTCGGAGGCGGGGGAGGGGGCCCGAGAGCGGGGCGGGAGCGCGCGCAGCCAATCGGCGGCGGGGGTGGGCCCGGGCGCCGCGGGCGCACTGACGGCCGGTGGACCGAGCCTGAAGCGGACGGCGGGCCGGTGACCGTTGCTGAGCGGCGGCGATGGCGACCGCGATGGCAGCGACGGCGGCGGAGCGAGCGGTGCTGGTGAGGCGCGCGGGCGGGGCGGGGCGGGGGATGGCGGGCCCGGGCGGCTGACGGCCGGCCTGTCCCCGCAGGAGGAGGAGTTCCGCTGGCTGCTGCACGACGAGGTGCACGCCGTGCTCAGGCAGCTGCAGGACATCCTCAAGGTAAGGCTTCTGGCGGGCCGACCCCGCTGCGGCTCCTTCCCGGGCCACCGCGCCTGTCTTCCGAGCGCCTGCTGTGGACACGACGGGCGTTGTGCAGACTAGGCCCTACCCCAGTGGACTTGGCGTCCAGTCGGGGCACCACTACATGATTGCCCACTTAATCACAAGCAGCTGTGTGAGAGTGCTGGGCTGGGCCTGGAATGAGCCCCTGGCTTAGGGGGTCGGGGTTGGGGTCAAGGAATGCTTCCTTTGAAGCTGTGATCTCAAGGTCTCCAGCATCGTACTCAACCTCATGAGGCCTCCTTTTCGCAAGAACGAGATTGCAGTACCGGCCTCACGGGGCTGTTGTGAACATAAGTCAACTCACAAAAATGTCCAGGCATTGCCTGCTATGGCCAAAATTTCGAGTTACCATGAGTACCGTCATTCCCTGACTCTGCTCCTCACACTCGAGCATCTTAACCAAGCCTGGAGGTCATCTCTGTTTTATATCCCTGAGTTGGGCATGAGGTAGGCGTCCAGGGAATGTGGAAGAAACAGCTATCCACTCTGGTAGGACCTGAAACTCAGGTGGTGGGGGAGGGGCCAGAGAAATGGGAAGGTGCCCTGGAGGCTTGAGAGGAGCCCACTTTGTCCCTCCCCTGGCCAACCCAGGAATGGGGCTTCTGGAAGGAGTGGTGAGCTGGATTGGGTGAACTTTACTCCACTGCCCTCTGCCCCTCCAGGAGGCCTCACTCCGCTTCACTCTGCCATGCTCTGGTACAGGCACCGAGGGGCCTGCCAAGCAGGAGAACTTCATCCTTGGCAGCTGTAGGTGAGCCGGGCTGAGCAGAAACAAGAGGGATGGACTGCTTGGAAGGGGGACACCTGGGATACTGCACAGCCAAGGCCCTGCCATGCAGACTGATTTCAGCCCCAACATCCAGAGGGTGTGCTGTGGGACAGCCTGGGCCATCCTGTGACAGCCAGGGGCAACCTGCTGGGAGGGCTAGGTGATGGGAAAGGGCAGCCGCAGGCACTGCTCTGACCCCCGCGTGTTGCAGCACAGACCAGGTGAAGGGCGTGCTGACTCTGCAAGGAGACGCACTGAGCCAGGCGGTGAGTCCCCCAGCCCCTCTTCCCTTTCCCTGCTGCTGAAGGATCCAGTGGGGAAGAGCGTGGGGACCTCCTGCTGAGCTTTGCCTTTACCAGTTGGCTCTGTGACCCTGGGCAGGATCCTTGATCTCTCTGGGCCTCAGTTTCCTCATTTGTGAAGTAACAACCCACCCCGCCAAACCTCCTCTGGAATTGGTGTGTGGCTTCAGTGAGAGGTGCAGGAAGGGGGATGCTTTGCACACAGCCCGGCCCTGAGTCTGGGCCCAGTGAAGCGTGGGCAATGGCGGGATCAGGCTGGCCCCAATTCAAAGTGGAATCAGCCAACATCTGAGCTCCGTCTGTGCCAGGCCCCAGGATGTGGGGGAAGGTGCCTCTCCTCCAGTAGTAGGTGTTCAGTGCATTGGCCTGTATCCACGCTCCCTTTCTGCCCACAGTCACACCTCCTCCCAGCTGAGGCCACCTTCCCCTTTCTCTTTTCCCTTTAGTTTCTTTGTGGTTCCTCTTGGGCCTGAGTTCCTGTTTCCTGACCTCCCTGTTCACACCCCAAATGGCCAGGGTTCTGGGAGACTTTCTGCCCTGTGGAATGACTGGGGCCTGAGCCGCCACACACACTCCGTGTCTGTCCCCTGCTCAAGGTCTCAGAGTGGCCAAAAGCAGGAGGGCGGTCCTCTTGCTTATACACTCTTGCCCGTCAGGACGTGAACCTGAAGATACCCCGGAACAACCAGCTGCTGCACTTCGCCTTCCGAGAGGACAAGCAGTGGAAGCTGCAGCAGGTAATTGGGCCCTTCCCCTGCCAGGGCTCAAGCCACAAGCTCAGGCAGGCAGGCAGCGGCAGGCCTGAGCAGCACTGAGGCCTCCTGGGGTGGCCATGGGGGACTTAAGGCCGCAGCAAGCCTGGGAGGGTGTTTCCTAGCAGCAAAGCTGGCGCAGGCAGTGCCTGGGGCTCCAGAGCCTCGCCTGGAGGGAGGTGAGAACCTATTCTGTCTGTAGGCCCCTGGGCCCCAATGGGAACCACAGGGATCCTCTTGAACAAGAAACTCCCCTTCCCAGAGCCTCCAGGGGCTTCCACTGGCTCCTGGGACAAAGTCCATGCTCCCTACCAGCTCCTGTGTGATTGGACCCCTGCTCCTCCACCTCAGGGCCTTCACCCATGCTCCTCGCTCTGCCTGGCGCCCTCTCTTGCTGCTTTTCTCATCACTTGGGTGATGCCCAAGAGGCATTTCCCTGGGGCCTCCCTTGACCTCCAGCTAAAGAGGCTCCTCCTCCCCCATCCTGCAGAGTCACCCTCTTGTCCTTGTGCAAGTCACTCAGTGTGTTGTCTTGTGCCTTTGCTCTGCTACATCTGTCCTCCTTTAGAAGGTGAGCTGTGCGATGGCAGGCCTTCCAGAGTCTGTGCCATGTGCCCAACACCCAGTC